GGTGACACAGTGCACCTGCTCTGCCTGCATCTCCAGGCTGGTGTCTGCACTGTGACTGACTGGTGCTGTTGCTCCTGTGTACCCGACCTGTGTAAACGACAGCAGAGTAACACAACCACCACTTGTACGTATAACACAGATAATGTTTAAGATTTTATTTTTTCTAAGGTGATTTACAGGAGGGTGAAACGGTCCCTTTAACAAGCAGAAAGTGCATTGCTGTGTAATCCTTTCTAGTATTCTATTCACTGGTCTGTAGATACTCAACGAGATACTGCAATAGAAACACTGGAACTTTGTTAAAACATCTCACCACAGATTTCCATGTCACTTTCAGATACTCACACTCAAACTCAAACTGATTACAAAGCCTGTAAAACCGAGCCTGCGCATTGAGGAAGATGGCAGCTGAAAGATTTGAGCTTGTTATTCCTCTGCTCTGTATGCAGTAAGGAATATCTGCGTGAAGAGAACTCATTTGAAAACTCATTTCTATGAACCTTTTCACTACAGGACTGCGGTATTTACATTTTGGATGAGCTATATTTCCAAACATGTTGAATTCTGATATGCACGGCTGGTGAAGAGAAGTGTGTAACAATAATAACACTTTTTTATTTTATTGTCAATTTTTATTTTTCTAACACACATTGACTTCCATGAACACAGGACAGATACAATGTCACTTTGGTCCAAAAGTAACTCAGATACAAAGTCTGTATAAAAGAACCAGTTCAGTTCACATAGACACTTTGGCATCCCATTTCTCACTGGTGTTTTGTGAGTAGCATAAAGGGCACTACAACTTCATCTCGTTATACAACCCTGTGTTGTTGATAAATGATAAATAAATCTACCTTGTGTAGCTTGCCTTAAATAATATATTTTTCAACCTCTTTCAAGTTTCTTTAAGTTATGAAGTCAATGTTGTCATATTCACACAGATAAGAAAGAAAGGCTACAGTAGACTGTATACACGATATACATATGGATATTTTCATTGGACAATGTAGACACAAAGACATGTTAATCATCATCAATAAAACTCATGAAGTACAGTCATTATGTTTTGCGTTTCAGTGCTGAATTTTCAAGTACGATGTGAAGGCATCACCAATGTATTGTAGGAAAAATAAAATAGTCCACAGTAAGGAAGCTACAGTGAAATGTAACAAGGGCTGAACAAGTAATTGAAATCGCAATATGGCCTTCTGCAATTTCCAAATCGCAGGAGGTGCAATATTTGTTAAAGGCAAAATGTGTCAAAATACCATTTCAAATTAAATATTGTTGTGCTGGACCTTGTTTGGTACATATCCCTGCAAAAAAAAAAATATAATCACACCATTATCATTTATTTATGTTTGTTAATGAAAATGAGAATAATTATGTAAAAATGATCATTCCCTCCGATATTGCAAATCACATCGCCATTGCAATATCAGTCAAAATAATCACAATTTTTTCAGAATCATTCAGCCCTAAATGTTACCCAGTTAAACCCATCAGAATGAGGCTGACACTTTGGGAAACCAGCCATCATGTTCACTCATCTGCCCATCTTTATTAATGCAATCGTTGGCTTTTCCCACAAAGAATAACACGCTCTATTGTCCAGCTTCGTATAAATTGTGTCAAAATATAGGTGGACTCATTGGAGAAATGTCCCATATGAGGGAAAGTCTGCATCATGCTCATTTAAATGACTGACGGCCTCCAACGAAGCTTATAAAAAAGAGTCCAGCCCTCCGTCGTGCAGGCTGCCTTCATTTGCGTTGTCAAAGCTGTTCTTCCCGTGGATTTGTTTGAGGTGCTTGCGGAGAACTGGCTTGTGAGCGAAAACCATGTCACAGTAGTTGCAGCGGTGTGGCTTGTCCCCACTGTGCAGGTTTAGGTGATCCAGCAAAGAACACTTTTGGGTGAAGGTCTTACCGCAGATTTTACACTGGAAGGGCTTGATGCCGGCGTGGACGCGCATGTGCCGATGCAGGTTGCCCTTCTGTGTGAAGGTCTTGCCGCACAGGAGGCACATAAACAGCTTGTGCATCTTGAGGTGGTTGGCGTAGTTCTCCAGCTGGCGGAAGACCCGGGCACACTTGGGGCACTGGTGGTACCACTGGAGAGGTTTGTCGTAGTTCCTCTGGTGCCCACTGTGTTTCTCTGCTGGAGGAGATGGAGGAGGGGGACTGAGCGGGTATCCGGCCACACCAGGTGGAACTGCCATCTCGCTGCCACGACTGTCCACAGTGGAGTTGATGAGGGAGTGCTGGGGCTCAGGAGAGTGGAGGGCAGCAGGTGGGCTGGTGGGGAAGTGACCAGTGACGGAGTTTTCTGCTACTTCAGACACAGACTCCACTTTCACTATAGTGATGTCACTCTCCACCATACCCTGCCTTGGACGTCTGCCTAACATTGGGAGAGGGGACTTAGGCTGTATGATTACATCATCATCATCGACGCCATTGTTGTCATCCTCAACCTGTTCCACCTCCTCCTCCTCCTCCTCCTCCTCCTCCTCCTCCTCCTGATGGACAGTCCGAATCTGAGAGCGCTCTTGCTCTCTCTGGGCCTGGGAGGATAAGCCCTCCTCCCTCTTGTCCCTCCTCATATCCACATCCACCTCCAGGTGGCGTGCAGGCTGAGGTTTGATGAACTTACTGAGAGCTTGAGTGCACTGCTCCACAATGTGGCCCATTTGGAGAAAGCTGGCCACTGTCAGGTAATGCACCAGCTCCAGCTCAGGAAACTCCAGCTGACCTGTGTAGCAGGACAACAGCAGCTGCCGGCCCACCTCTGCCTCCTGGATCATGGAAATCTGGACCTCCCTCGAGTCCTGCTGAAGGATGAACTGGTCTCTCAAGAAAGACGAGCCGGCGGCAAACACTACCTTGTGACCAGGGACCTCCAGCTGGTTGATGCGTACAGTGACATCACAGAAGCGTCTCTGGTGTCGTAGGAGGTTCATCTTCTGCAGCATGGAGTCCCCAAAAGTGGCAAAGCGAAACTGCAGGATCACCTGGTTCTGGGCCATAGTGAACGGAGGGCCAGCACCTGTTCAGAACAGAGACTGTATGATCTCTACTGGACAGTCGCACACTATAAATTGTGAGAATTTGATATTTTGTCTTTAACGATTGCACTTCAGGAGGCAGCTGGACTTTTTCTAAGAATACACAACTACATAGTCTCTCCTCACATGTAACTCTACATAAAGACAGAAACAGTCCATTTTTGAAATAAAGATAAAGAGCTGTTTATGTAACTCCCACCATCATCATGTCATCATAAGCTTCTTCAAACGTGGCGCGTGATGCTCTCGTGGATAGGTTGAGACTGAGACCATAGAACCAAACTCAGTTCGAAAACCTGCCAATTTAACACGAGCGGTGTCTTTAACCGTGTCTGTTTAATGAGGCACTTAAATACAATTATGTTTCAATTTATTTTAGGAAACACTGTCCACGCTAGCTTCAGTTCGGCGTTCATCCACTAAAACAAATGGTAACAACAAATCCTTAATTGTTGCAACTTACTAACGTTGTAACTATTGCCGTTTTGCCCGGTGGTGTAACGCTGAGAGTTACATTAAATGGTAAAAAACTCCTACAACGCTATTTTAGTTTTACAGTTGATAAGGGTTGCCGATAAACAAGACATAAACTCAATGCAAACCTCTCAAAGCGGTGACTGGCACTTGATTTTTGCTGTCCGAGTTTACTGAACCTACGGCCGCTTTCATGTTAGCTTAGCGCTACCGGTAACGTAATGTTATAGTGTTGGCTTTCTTTTGACGAAAATATGTATAGCCTGGGCATTACCCTACTCTGGGTTACAGCAAGACGCAAAATAATCTTGTATAAAGTGTTAGCTGTAGCTAACGTCATATATAGCCGGAACAATCAGTCACAAGTCGCCTCCATATTTTCCTTTGGCCTGCTCCTCCACTCTTCAGCTGACATCTCAGGCTGTCTGGGAACATGCAAGAATGTGGCTAACTAACTCGCTACATTACTATGTTTTAACATTAGTTGACACAGTAATAAGTGTTGTGTACCTGTTTACCCCTTGTAAACAAACCCGTTAAAGGTGGGTTGTCATCGGAATGACACTGGCCTCTGTCTGTCTGGAGATAGGAAGTAGCTGCTCCGGATGCAAAACCAATTTAAAGGCCCAGTAGCCTACAATTTATGGGATCACCTCCATAGACTTCGTGTACTAATTTTCATTAGCCATAATTACTGCTAACAAATAGCATCTAAACATAAGTAATAGATACAATAAATATTGATTTCAGTCTCATCATTAATCCTTATGTTTTTTAATTAAAATATTTTCTGTTTATTTTCCAGTAGCCTATTCCTATAATAACACTGGCAGGTAAAAGATGAGGGTAATTCCCAGGGTTTCCCCAGATAAATGTTTAACAAGAAGAGAAAAGATGAGAAAGACAACGTCTCAAATCACCTCTTTAGACCTCTAAAAAATAATCAAGGAAACAATCTGGGACAGAATAATCACTCTTCTGTAATCTGCTCATTACATTTACAAAGGCCATAACCTGTAATGAGGGTTTACATAAAGGTTGGAAACCACTGGCTTTATACTTAACATGGCTCATCACGTTTAAATGCATGTATGTATTAATTAATGAATGTCTGTAGCTTAATGATTTAGGTGGTTCTGTTAAGCAGCCTTATGAACATGCAGGGGAAGTTCATTGTGATATTTATTGTGTCAAAACTGCAGTTTGGCTGTTGTCACAGTCCACAATTTCGCAAGCTGGGAGTGACTGAGTTAGGAACTGGGGGCTCCAAGATTGGCATTCCTCTGGAATGAGTCTGGTCAGTCCAACATGTAGCCTAGGATTTCAGAACTCAGATTTAGCATCATGTCCTAAACGGGGCCAACCATGCCAACATTTAGAAACAGTGAATGTGGTGATTTCCAACAACATATTCACATCCAATAATCATTCAAGCATTCAATCAGTACACATCCAATAGTTAGTGAAATAACATTTATTATAATTATTTACAAAAAGAACAAAACAAAATGTACAGGTAAGGAGTCAAGACACATCAGCACCAGCACATGCAGGGGTGTCATGTCTTCTTGAAAAACCTGGAAAGGAAGACAAAGGGAAACCAGGTCATTATATTACATATACAAGTTGTCCCCTGTGACTGTCCTATTAATATTATATCATATGCTTATTGTTACTCGTGCATTCATGTAAAAGCAGGATTTTACTGTTGTTGAGGGGGAGTTATTTTTGAACGATTTTGTATCGGACTGCAACTAATTATTATTTTTATATAGAATTCATCTGCGGATTATTTTCTCCATTAATTGATCGATTGATTGTAAAAATTCTGAAAATAGTGAGAAATACCGACACAGTTACCCAGAGTCCAAAGTGACACCTTCATAAGTCTTGTTTTGTCCAACGAACAGTCCAAACCTCAACATTATTAACGCTACATTAAAATAAATAAAAAGAATTAAAAAGAAAAGCAGCAAACCTTCACATTTGTGAGGCTGGAACCATGAAATGTTATTACATACAAAATTACATAAACTGTCAAAATAGTTGACAATTCATTTTCTGTCCACCGACCAATTGTTTCATCTATACTATATATATTTTGTGTGTAAAAAGCTTAATTTGTAAAGTAACTACTAAAGCTGTTAGATAAATGTAGTGAAATAAAAAGTACAATGTCTCCCACTGAGATGTAGTGGAGAAGAAGAAAATTCTCAAGAAAAGTACAGGCAACTTAAATTGTAGGTGAGTACAGTACTTGAGTAAATGTACTTACTGTCCAGCACTGAGAAACACTAGAATGACTGTAGACTGTGAACATTTGTAATAATTAATATAGTGATAGATCAATCTTGTTTCAAATATAAAATTACAATACATTACAATAATAATACAATAACTGTATTATACTATCTTCCATACCAGGTGAAACTATATCCACCCAAAATGACCAAGGCAACCAGTCCTATTGATGCTGCAGCAGACAGTGATGATACCCTCAGAACATAGGATGTACCTGGAACAAGGAAATGTGTGTGTGTGAGTAACTGGAGGAAACTAGCACTTTATGCTTGTTTCTTGTTATTTTACATTGCATTTTAAAATAAGTTATGTTGCCTTGTGGGGTAACGTCAGAATGTTGTAATGAGGTCAAATGTAATTTCCAATAGAAATCTCAATAGAAAGTCATCTTTTTTTTTTTTGTTGGTATTTTGGCCAGTGAATTACCTCTTACTTTAGCCCATAGGACACAGGAACTTTTTAAAGCCTAGGAGAGAAAACATTCAGTTAATTTAACGAGTCCGATGCAAGTCAATACATTTTCATACCCTACTGTATAGTAGTTGCACCCACCGTTTTCCACTGACTGACAGCCCGTAAGATAATATAATAGTTCCTGCCGTTCTCCAGTGGGGCATTAAAGAAGCCTCCATAATAGAGTTCATCCCCTACAGTAAAGTTCATCTCTGTGCTGACATGTCTGACATCAATCTGAGCAGTGATGTACTCTGTTGAGGACTTTATTTTGCTCGAGGGGTCAGAGCTCGCAGGAGAGGCACAGTCAAACATCATAATCCCCTCTGCAGGAAGCACAAACACTTGGTACAAACTGCCAAATGAAGAACAAAAAAATCACTTATTTTGAAGGTGCAACATACAACATTCTAACTTGAATATATATTGACCATATTCAAGATCCTGTCCTGTGGAATCAGGTCCCAGTTTGGGTTCAGGACCCCAATCCTCACATTTAAGGCTTAAGACTTTCCTCTTTGATAAAGCTGATAGTTAAGTCTGGCTCAGGTGAGCCCCGAACCATCCCTTAGTTATGCTATATTGGCCTAGAATGCTGGAGTCTTCCAATGATGCACTGAGCTCCTCTCTCTCACTCTCCATCTGTATGCATTCGTATCCCATTAATGCATGTTACTAACTCAACTTCTTCCCTCTCCTGTAGTTTTGTGCTTTCTCGTTCCTCTCCTCTCTCCGCTTTTTTTGTGGACTTTCTATGTTCCATTGATACTCACTGCTACAATTATTATTATTAGTCATATTATTATTCATATTGCTATTATTATTATAAGTTACCTTATAGGGTCAAGCGTGTTGGGTGATCTGCGTAGCCTCAAAGTTGGTACACGCGTCTCAAATTCTCTGTAGTACACAACCGGTGCTGGAGGCACTGTCAAAGGTTGTCATATTTAATATGCAATGCTTGGTATAAAGCAGACTGCATCAAAGGCAGTATCATTATATCAGACCTAAATTACTTTGATGCAGGAAAACATTTAATCAGAGAATAAATTTAAGGCTGTACAACTATACCTGGTAAACTTGTCTTAGTAGTGATAGTGGCCGTGAATCTTGAAGACACTGCAGTGATTGAGATGCTGTAGTTTGTAACTGGAAGCAGGATCAGACAGAGTTCCAGCTGGTCAGCCTTGGAGCTCAGAAGCAGCTTTCTTTTATCATGAAAGGACCTTTGGTAGTCTCTGGATCCTTTATATATTATCTGGAATTGTTACATTGAATGTGGCATCAGTCGCGGTCACAAAACAGTATGGTAATTGCTAAACCTGCCATACAAATTTACATATAAGTGGACAAATAAGGCAAAAAAAGTACATATGGTTGAAGACAAATGGCAACTAGATTGAAAAAATTATGATGAAATCTCCTGTTACCTTGTAAACTTCTGTATCCTCCTCATACTTCTCTGCTTTCCAATGCAGACATCTTTCATTAAGGACAAATAAATGATTTATAGGTGGTTTTATTTCTGTAGGAGATATGTGAATGATAAGACAGTGTTGGCACCTCAGATCCTCACCATTTTATTTGTCAATTAATAACACCATATAAGCCGCACACCTACTCACACGCATTTTGTGAGGCCTAATGAACACTACAACCTACAGAAGTTCCTATTGTGGATATGTTCACGTGTTCTTACTCACCTATACATCTCAGTGTAGCTTTCTGCCACACCCCAGAGCTGCCACACACAGAGACGTTGCTGCCCCTCCAGCTGTGATATCCATCCACACAGCGGTGGATCACAACACTTCTGTTATGCCACACCACCTCTGAGTTGGCAAGGAAGGGGACCGGGCCACATTTAGCTAGAAAAACAATGGCACTGATTGGTTAACTAACTGTGTTGTGAGGCTTTATAAGCATGGTTATATACAGTATATTCCACACATATCTATGTTTATCCTTTTTTGTGCCTTGCACTGGAAGAGTCGTCAGGTGAGTGAAGTCAAATAGCATTTGTTGTTACCTCAACATTCAATTCACCAGTGGTCGGACACAGAAAAAAATTCATCAGCACAACATGAAATAATGTGACATTTTACCTTGAAAACCTACAACATGCACAGAACAAGCAGGGACATTTAAGGGACTCTCTAACAACAACTGGAACAATATAGAATTGAGCATCCATCAATTACTTAGCAGTTAAATCAAAGCATCAACAAAAACATATCAATGTGTTAATGTTGTCCATGTATAGAGATTATCACGGTACCTTTGCACTGTACAGATACTTCCCCCCACTTTCCTGATAGTAAACATGTTGAAATATTATTTCCACTCTCCTGGTAAAATCCATCCATGCACTCATACAGAGCCACACTGCCCGGTCTACTGGTGCGATCCCACAGGAGGTTAGTATGGGGGAGGTTTAGTGGGTGACCACAGCTTATTTCTGCATACAGACATGGGTTAGCACAGACTGTGTGCTATAAACAGGCATATAGTATATCACAAAGAAAAACAAATAGCACTAATAAGAAATATGCTTATTTAATTTTATACCAACAGCTATATGAAATGATCAATGTGCATGTCTTCAGTGTTAATTTGAAGCTACAGCTTGCAGCCAGTTATCGTATTTACACACAAAGACAGAGGGAAACAGCTAGAATGGCTCTGTCAAAATTTAACAAATGTAATATTTCTTGGCCAACGGCAGTGACTGGAATCATACTGTCAATTTAACCAGCAGCGTAGACTTCAGGAAGCCGCTGCGTCAAGTCCATAGAAAAACCACAATGTGTCATTTTTACACTTAGGTTTTTGTGTAGGTTTTTGTGTGGATTAAATAAACAAGATATATTGTGTTAGTCTGTGAGCTTTTAAAGTGCTGTTAGGTGGGTTTTGTTGGACAGAGCCAGGCTAGTTGGTTCCCTCCATTTCCTTTCTTTACACTAAGCTAAGCAAACTGGCTGCTGGCTGTAGCCCTACATTAAACAAACAATATTGAGAATGGTATTGATCTTCTCGTCTAACTCTCAGCAAAAAAACTCCAAAACAAATTAGGGTATTTCCCAAAATGTCAAACTATTGCTTTGAAATTTTTTGCACGTTGCTACCAATTTTCTGAAATTAAAACAGTAGTTTATCAATATATATGTCGTCAAACGTTGCACCTTCACACCATAGATCAATATCCTCCCAAAGTCCATTCTCTCCACATATTGAGTAGTTTCTCTGGCTCCTGATGTAAAATCCTTCCTCACATTGGAAATACACAACACTGCCAATGTGTGATGTGCCGTCCCACTGCAGTTTAGCATTAGGTTTGAAAACAGGCTCTTGACATTTGATTTCTACAACAAAAAGACAGCAAGTCATTGTAACTCTCTGGTCAATGGATAGATGGATAAAGTTAAAAAATCCAGATACAATTCACACATCTTGAAACAGATGTTGATGATGATTGTAACAGTAACATTCATGATATTCAGTTAAAGCATGCAAATGACGTATTGTCAACGTATGAAAGGACTGCATCAATCAATAGACTAATGTCATTATCACCTTGACATAGCGTAGAGGCTCCATCCCACTCTCCACTGGCCGTACAAACTGATACATTTCCCTCTCCAACATTGTGATATCCGGAGTTACACTGATAAACAACCTGAGAGCCCACAGTGGAGATATTATCCCACAGTATGACTGAATGAGGGATGGGTGGGGGCACCCCACAGTCAACTTCTACAAGGATGGAAATTGCATTATTTAATTGAGGGGAAACAGTTATTATTTGACTCTGGACAACGGAAGTGGAAACAAAACCAGTCAGAGTACTAATAAGATTTTGGAGAAAGTTGTTACCTTTGCATGAGATGTTTGGTTTTGTCCAGTAACCATTAATTGTGCACAATGATATGTTATTTCCTCCATTGTGATAAAATCCTATTTTACAGTAGTAAGTCACTGTGCTTCCAGGGGTGGAGCTGCCATTCCACACATGCCCAGTGTGTGGCAGTATAGGAGGATCCCCACATAATATCTCTGGGACAGGAAACGATACACAAATTAATGTCATTTTTGCCTTAAACTAGCTACACAATAAGACATGACAGAAAATAATTTCCTGCCTGTTCATATTTGAAAAGAAAACCATTTCAGGGAATTTATTCATTGTTTAAATTACCTTGGCACAACAAAGTTGGTTGGGTCCACTGACCGTTTTCATTACAGATTGATATATTATGTCCTCCTTTGTTATAAAAGCCCTCTTTGCAAAAATAGAGCACAGTGCTGCCAGAGGTTGAATTATTGTCCCACACCTGCTCAGTGGATTCAATTATAGGAGGACTTCCACACAAGGTCACTCCAAGGAATAACAGGCACAACAACCATGTAACATAAACACCAGGATTTTAGATGAATTCCCTTTCAGTTTAGTCTATTCAGATTACTCTATTAAGTGCAAAAAAATAAAAGATACAGCATATCTGTGTACAATATGTTTATATTTCAAAACTCTAAAATGATCTGATTAAATAGTAACTGTACCTTCACAGAGCACTGACGGTCTCTCCCACTGTCCAGACGCAGTACAAATGGACACATTGCCCTTTCCAGCATTATGATATCCAGGGTTACACTGATAAAACACCTCAGTGCCTATCCTTGACCTCTTATTCCACAGCATTTGAGATTGAGGGAGGGCAGGGGGAGAGCCACAGTCAACATCTGAGAGCCAAAGCAGTGACATGCTGCATGAAACTGTATTTGCTGGAAAATCTCCAGGAACTCTGTCCGACAGGTGCCTTTCATTAACCCTGCGCTCCTGAAACTGGTTAAAAACTCACTAAAAACCGTCAGTCATCAGTGTGAGATTCATTATATTATCATCACCTATAGGCTTAAAGGATAAGTTCACCATTTTCCAAGTCTGTCTTAAAACAGTAGCAGGTACCTTGTATGAATATTTAAACAGGACTTGCTGTAATCATTTATCCTGTTCATACTGGCTGTGAAGATTTCTCTTTTTAATATGATTGAAATGGAGGTGATGGAGGACAAAATCCACAGTCCTATTGTTTTAAAGCTTTTAAAATTGTGAACCTATCCTTTAAAAAACACTCACCACGCTTGCTCTTTATTTACATGGTACCTTTATAACTGTTAGGTCAACTGATGTGCTCTATATCAGGTATTTTAGAAGGGGTTAAACCAAATACAAGAGATAAGAAAGCCATTACAGAAAGGGGGCATACATATTCTCACCTTCCATTTGCTTTACCTCTTCTGGTGCTCCATTTGCATGTAATGTTATCTATTAGGACTGGACGATAAATCCAATATATTGCATTGGAGATATATCTGAATCTCCTATCTTGTGAAAGCCTGAATTAAAAACATCTCAGGTATTATTTCTTAAGAGTTTAACTTTCAGCAAAACTAAGAGCCTACGGCCATACAAACGGTGCTGTGGACATGCTGATGTTTAGCAGGTATTTTAATTACCATGTTGTTGAGCATCTTATTTTATGGGAATGTCAGTCATTTTGCAGATATTTGGTCATAAACTAAAGTACTGGACAGATTTTGACCTGATGATGACCTGAGGATGACCTGAGGATGACCTGAGGATGGCCTGAAATTTGATGACAATTCATGGTCTTAGATTAATGACTTATTGTTACAGTTTTTATAATAATAAAATTTATCAAGATCAATTTAACGATTTATTGAGATAGGTTTAAGAGCATATCAGCCAGCCCTAGTGTGTTTCACAATTACTATATAAACATTTAGCTGACACTGTTAAGAACTCCTGAAAAGACAATTACATAAACACACATTTCAAGATCATGAATGTTACAAATACCCAAGAGCAAAGAAGTACAGAGTTGCAATGTGCTGATGATCATGAATATTTATATAATGCCAGAAGAGGACAATAAGAGGTGTGAAGAGTGGCATACTATTTTTTTTGCTTGTTTTGTTACCTTCACAGACCATGTTGGGTCCTTTCCACAGTCCATCAGCTCCACACACGGAGTTGTTGTCTCCACTCCTCCACACAAAGCCGTCATCACAGACAAACATGGCCACACTGCCGTATGTGGTCCCTGTGACTGAGAGCAGCACCGTGTCCTCCACTGAGGCAGGCTGGCCACAGTCAACAACTGATGAGGACAAAAACATACATTTCACATTTGGGACAGACAAAGTACACAAAAGGAATGTGTTGTTTTTTAAAGGGTTTGAAAGTCAATCTAGCATACCGCCCCTTGCTTGATTGTCTCAAAATCCCAAATACATACTACATATTAACTCTAAGCAGATTTTGAGTATGTAGAGTATTCATATTCATGCAGGAAAAGACAAAATTGAATATACTTACAACTGGCAGCATGCTTATCCAAATCTCATTAATGCATTTTTACCTTTGCAGGAAGCGTTGTCTCTGTGAGGATGGAAGGGCTCCACTCCATTGTGGACTTTGTATCCCAGCTGGCAACTGCAATCAAAACTGCCGTCAAGATTCCTGCATTGACCCCCTTCTCCACACGGGCCTGCGATCCTGCACTCGTCAATGTCTGCAAAACCAGTGGTTAATGAGCATGTGACATAAAAACGAACTTTGTAAGACTTGACTTAAGAGTTACAGGTCCAAACTGTAGTTGAGTTTCAGTACTGTCTTCACTGCACTGACATTATTTGGTTTAAGAGATTTTATTACTTCTCTGAAATTGATAGTTGAGCTTTTAATATAAGATGTCTCTGTGTTAGTACTCAGTAATTATAGTCTAAAATATATTACCAAATAGAAGCCAAATGATTTTCAAAGGACTGAAGTGAAATAGTAACAAAAGGTGTTATTTGTTTTATATATAGAATTCTAACTTTGAAAACTGTCCTTATTGTCTGTATGACTAATTAATTTATGTTGTCATTTCTCATTTTTAGTCTACATTTTTTAACAACAAGAATAATCCTACGGGTGACTATAAGTGTAATTATGTTTCACATGCCTACTTTTTGGATGTCTCCCTTTTGTGTAGTTTTATGTAAAAACCCATGTCCAGCCTAAACTCACCCTGGCAGTGGGTTCCATCATTTGGGATGAAGACGGCCATGTTGTTAGAAGGGCTGTAGCCAAACAGGCAGGTACAGTAGTAGCTGCCATACGTGTTGTGGCAGGTGGTGTGCTGCCCACAAATCTTACTGGCTCCTATCTGACACTCATCTTTATCTGGAAGAAAAAATATTTATTACACTTCAACATGGAAGAGAAAAAGTTGAAATTGTTAATGTTGTTAATTCCACTTGTGCTTTTACTATTATGACAAGTCAAAATGTCTACATGATGTTTTGTCTTTTATTGTTGTACAGACATTCATGGTCCCCAGAAAATGCATCCGACTAACTTTAGTGATGGCCTTACTTTTCATCTAGATCCATCATCATGTTAACATGATGATGGATCATGACATGATGATGCTGACATGCTAAACTTAGATAGTGAACATGGTAATGCTTTGAACTTCATGCTAGTTGGATGATAGCTTCATGCTACGAAGTCTACTAGCTTATTCACCTTTTAGCTTAGTTTTGCTGTGCACCAACACGTAAGGGTAATATCTGGCTATAAATGCTCCACTATGTTTACCAGCTAGTCGCTACCTTTGTCTGTTTGGTGCTGAGCAGGCAGCTTACTGAGGATCTGTAGAACATTTTGCTGCCTGCTGCTGCTGATGAGAGCGGTGAGACTGAACCAAAACACTTGCAAGAGGTAAAACCAAAACAATGAGCTGAAAGACACTAAAACGCTCTGTAGCGCTGAGAGAACTGCAGTGCAGAGTGATAACTATGGATTTGTTACAAGTGACCAGCTCTGCACAAGCGAAGCCAATGCAGAAGTTTCTTACACCTGCATTCTTGTTAATGGCCAGCAGGGGGTGACTCCACTGGTTCCAAGAAGAAGTTAGATTATATAGAGGTTTATGGCAAAATGACCCAACTTCTAACTTGATTTATTACCTCAATAAACACTTTCTTAAAGGGGTTATGTTCTCCATCACTAGGTTAAGTCTTCTTCAATACAGCATGACGTTAATTTTGTAAATTATGGTCCCATTTAGAGGAAAGATAATAAAGCAGGGTATGCTTTAGGGAGCGGCTACTTTGTGATTGATAAGTCACTATCACTGCGATCTGTCAGGCGTAGCAATGAGTATCCCTCCCCAGCTCCACCCTCTCGTCCAAATATGGTCACTTCTGGTTCCAAAAAAATCAAAATGGCGAAACTGGAGGCTTGAAAAAGGTAGCCCGCGAACCAATTGCCTACGTCCACCTTTACATACATTTCATTCTAAACATAAAACTATTAATAAGCAGCATTAGTTGCATTCCCTTTTTAAACTTTGAATTCAGTATTTCAGACTGCAGTTATCATTGCAAAACATTTTTCTCATTTGAAAAAACAGAGGTTGAGATGAAGACACATTTCATTTCACACAAAAAATAAACACGTTTTTCCCTACCTTGACAGAAGGTTCTGCCATTTCCAACAAACCCATACTTGCAGTTACAAACTTTGCCAGAGCCATCTGACTTGTCGTCACATGTGGCGTTAGCGTGGCAAGTTGCACACACATCCAGAGCGTGACCTTCTGCTAGCATATCTGAGAGGATAGCAATAACACCCATCAGTGAATATCTTCAAAATGTTTTTTTCACCCCTTCTCCAGTTGTCAGTGATACATACAGATTTTGCAAAAATAAATAATATTGATTAATCACTAAATGTGAAGGATGGAACAAACAAAATTGGCATCAGTATTCTCACCTGCAATGACACAGAGCAGAAAAATCACCATCATTTTTGGGTTTCTCTCGATCACACTATCCCTGCCAAGTCTCCTGGTAGTTCTCTTCATTTCACCAGACACTCAACCCCCTCATCTCCCCCCCCGTTTTTCACTTCCGTCTTATGGCCCATGAAGACATTGAGCAGGTTTGATAACCAGCATTAAGAGGATGCTGCAAGTGGGTGAGCTGAGGTCACTGAGAAATAGCTCCTTTTCTCAATGGTCTTCTTGGAGCTGGTGGTTTTGTGGCTTCATCTGTCATTCTCTGACACATTCAGTTACGCTCAGTGCTCACTCTGGTGAACAGCACACTCACACTGCGGTGACTGATAAGGCTATATTTGGCCTAACGACCCTGCTGTGTGGCCTCTTACAAACACTGTGGCATTTTGTAACCACATCATTACTATGTGTGTAAAATTTCAATTTTCAATTCTATGTTATTTATATAGTGCAGCTTATCCTTTCTCGATTGTATTTAAAGCAGTTTGTAACCTTTAATAAATTAAAATGGCTTAATTGATCGTTTATTATAATCCTTAAATGTATAAGTGGTATTTTAAGCCAATGTAACCAGCATAACTCCTCATCCTACCGCATGGTGGTAGTGGGAGCAGAGGAGGTGTCAGTTGGTGTGATGTGGTAGGTAGAGATAAGTCTAGTGAGCTGCTATCCGTCTTCCCAGCAGGGTCCTTACTAGGGTTTCTCTGTCACTCAAACCAGCAAGTAACCACCTCACACCAGTGCCTGGACTGGACTGATTAACACCAGCCTGACCCTCAGAGAAGGCAGTCCCCAAAAGTGACTGAACAGTCTGTCTGTGTAGGCCCAAATCTGACTAGAACTGAAATTAATTGTTCAACAATAAAAATAAACCAAAGTCAGCAGGAAGCTATGGTTTTTCAACTGTTTTTCTTTATCTTGTCATCTTTGTGGATAAACACTTATGGCTGTGGTATTTTTGCACTGCATGTCCAAGAGCTCGCAGATTAGTGAAACAGCAGTATTACATTTATTTTCTACTGGATTTTCTTTGTCACTTTTTGTCTATTGCCATTCATGCTAATTACCCAGTTCAACAGGAAACTGCAAAACCACCAGTTCAGTCAGAAACACTTACGTCAAGGAATTTATTATTTATAGCATATGGTTATCCAGTTAGATTTGACAGGAGGCTCTGCTCTTTGAGGGAGTTCTCTACACATCAACATGGATACTGTTGGAAGAAAAAAATATGTTTTTTTACTGCATGAAAATGTTTGGATGTTACAAGTCAGCTGGTGGGCGGCACGGTGGTGCAGTGGTGAGCACTGTCGCCTCACAGCAAGAAGGTTGTGGGTTCAAAAACTGTGTGGAGTTTGCATGTTCTCCCCGTGTCTGTGTGGGTTCTCTCCGGGTGCTCCGGCTTCCTCCCACCTAGGTTGATTGGTGACCCATTGTCCTTAGGTGAGTGGTTGTTGTGAGCAACCACTGTGTGGCCCTGCGATGGACTGGCGACCTGTCCAGGGTGTACCCCGCCTTGCGCCCGATGTCAGATGGGATTGGCTCCAGCCCCCCCTGTACGCAGGATGAGCGGTTGACGATGGATGGAAGTCAGCTGGTTGCCAGTTAGCAAACGTAAGCAAGACTCATTTCAGTGCTTAACTGAACAAAATCATCTGGTCATCCCCTACTGGCTGGTGTGTACAACTGAAGCACATGGCATACTGACATTTCAGTCCTGCCTTCACCAGTAGATATCGGGCGTCAGACAGATTTTCGGGGTTTAGTTAAACGTGCCATGTGGAGTTTTGTTGTAAACAAACACAAGTTATATTGACATTCATTGACAGTGTTATTCACCTGAACAAAGTGGGTCTATACTTGAGATGTTTGATGCATTTTCTTTCTCTTAAAACACTTGCAAAACTGATTCTGATCCGGTCAATCTTACCATCCACGTGTTCTAGCTAGTAGTCTTCCTCTTCACTGTCTTTGTTGGCCAATGCTACGCTTCTTTGCACGTTACTGCCACAGACTGTCGAAACATTGCTCCATAGATGGCAAAGACTCCACAGGGTAATCCTTAAGTGCTGGATCCACTGAAGCCTGAACCGAAATTTCTGAATCCACAGTATTGCATAATACTTTGGCGTAATGATCATTGTGCATTCTTCTCATTGTAGTACAGTTGTAGATGGTGTTAAACCATGTCCCATAACAAGTGTGTACTAAGGGAAAGTAATTGGTTATTGAAGATATCTTTATTTGTTGCCTGATCTTTCTAGACCTTCTGTGTAGTTATCACAAACTCATTCAGATCAAATATTACAGGAACATGCATTTTTTTTGTATAAAAATTGTATAACAGACTTGGGAGATATGTTTGATAAACTTGAACCCCGCATGATTCTTTAAATGTAATTTAATAGAAAGCATTACACCTCTCAGCATACATACATGTCATAATTACCTAATGAGACTTACACATCAGTGGCTGACGTTTGAGCTAAATATAAATATGTTCGCTTGTTGAGTGCTTTTAATGATGAAGGCTCTGTAAAATCAGTGCCAGAACAGTTTGACAAAAGAAAAGTTGAATAAGAAAACCAAATGACACTGCGTATAACACCTGTGTGCTCTGCGCTTCAACTGGAACACATATAAACTGTAAGCCCAGTATGTAGCTGTGTTTGCCAGTGTGATCGGAACACACAGTGTTTTTCAGGACAGCTTCACAGTGCTGAACTTGGACATACAAACTGCTGCAGGGTTCAAAACTATGATCCTTTACGTCCTGCTTGGTCATAAAACAGTGCAGAAACAGCAGCGTTTCTTTTCATGTATGGTCCCAACTTCTTCGGGTGGAGGCGCTTCAGGAGCCGGAGATTCCACCTTACACTCTGACTCTGAGCCACTTGAGGTGGACAACAGCCTCCCACGCACCAGGTCAGCAGCTTTTCCATCCATGACGGACAAGTCTGTCACCGTTTTCTCCCTTAGTGACATGTCTCCATCGTCATCATCATCTATCAGCACAAACTCCTTGAGGTAAACCATCCCTACCCCATGGAGGCTGTGGCTCTCTGCTGATCCCTCCATGGTGTGGGCATCCACAAAGGTCAGAGTTGAAGTCTCTGTCAGTGTCTCATGTGGGTCTGTGGAGTTGTCCTCCGGTCCCAAATAGGCCTGGCTGCTCGAATCCATCATCCACATGGAGTTCCTTCCAAAGCTCTTGTCTTTTATGCCATACCTCTGGTCCTGGCTGTTAGAGATGATGTCTGGAATAGAGAACATCTTGCCTGTACCATCACGGCTGGTGACCTGGTCTCTCCCGGTGTAAGAACTGTTTTCTGGAGCATGACCATTCCCAGGATACATCTTAAAACACACCTTCTGGTAGTCATGGTAGACCTGCACACTGCTGCTCCCTGTTGGGGAGGAGAGGGGGATGCTGGCAGTGTTGTCTTGTCCTTGCTTCTTCATGTATTTTCCCTTGCCGCTCTGAGACAAAACAGAAAATTCAAAGTTAATTCTTGACCTTAGTAAATAACAGTAAAAAAATAAATAAAAAAAGTTTATTATGTAGCTATATCAAAGATGTGGTTGAAAGTAATTAGACTTTTAGTTAAGAATTATTTTTCAACAATAGTAAACCTGGGCCTGTTAATAGTAAGTGCAGTGTGTGCAGACTTGTTTTATGAACAACAGTAAGAAGAACAAGCTGTCATTTAGTATTGGCCTCTCTGAATAAATAAATGAAGCTGGTACTTTTAAAAGAAGCAAAAATAACTTAAATTCCCTGAGGATCAGCTCTTTGAAGGAGACAGATGAACTCCTCTAAAGTGCTCAAACCAAGGAAGGAGTGTGTGTGTGTGTTTCATCTCTCTAAACCCCCAACCCCCCGCCCTCCACAGAGAAAACACATTTCAGATGAAGTGATGAATGCATCACTTCAGAACATACTTCAGGCAGAATATCAGGCACATACTGTAGAAATCAGCCAAAGCTACAGCAACACAAAGCAGTATTGCTGAAAAGTTCATGTTTACATTTTGTTTTGTGTGATAAGATTTCAAGACCACACAGAAAAGCTATGTTAAACAAATGAGATATTTAGACTAAATACAGGATTAAAAGGCTTCTTCAAGAGGAGCGTTTTCACTTACCTCTCTACGTGCTAAATGCAATATACTCCATGCTGGAGCTTAACAGACTGACCCTCTTACACTTGACTGACTCACATGCATGACAGAATCAGGACTCTATAAATTAATAATAACAGCAATGTACATGTTCAAGCAAGCGTCGGCGTAGTGATGACGGAGCAACAATAGATGAAAAATAGATTTGATTTAAACACACTCAATGCATTACTGCATTAGTTTGTACTTGGTTGGCCGCTGTTTCTGTCTCAGCAGTGACTATGAAAAGGTTGACAACTGCTTTAACTGTGGCAGATGGAAGTTTAGTGGACCTTAATACCTTCAAAACAGTGTTTCTTTACAACAACATATCTGTCATGAAACTCTAATCTCTTGAATTAACCCTGCCATAGAGACCCAAGGTTCAGCTTAGTATGAATCACTCACATGAGTTCAAGCATTTCATTTCAACAAGTTTATTTTGTAGTGACAGAAAATGTTTTAGAGCACTATTTAACAAGCCTTTTTTGTCATGAAATCAGTCAAATCGGGGTCATTGCTAACAGCAGCACTTAACAGTTGCCACAAACTGTCCTATACACTTACAAGAATAGATACTTATACAGAAATCTACATTGTCAAAAAAAATCCACTTATATTTAAATACTTAAAATATGCTTTTACCTTAAGCCGTCCACGGATGAACTCTTCCCCAAGTTGCTGTAATGAAACTCACATGGCAGAGGTGGGATGACCCAGCGTGTGTGCCTCTGATCTGCAGCACAGCTGGTGAAACTGATTTCTCCTCCGTCTGGATGTCTATAAACAGAGACTCTTCACACACACCCTCCCCTCATCTTGTAAACTACAACTGCTCACAGTGTGTGCAGGGAGGCAGTCACGGGATGCTCCACTTATTGAATTCTTTTTCTTTTTTTTTGCTGAACCAGTGTTTCTTCTCAAGCAGACTGTTCTTCACATTCATCCAGCTGCACATATTTACACCTGGAAACAAGGACTATGCACCAAACATTCACTTTTGGGACAACTGTTTTCATTGACCAATTAGGAAAGACAATATAACAAAAAGGTAATATACCTAGAAATGCACACTTTAAACAGAAAGAAGGTATGGTGAGCGGAGTACTGCCAATATGACCTGCCAGCTGTACCAAAAAAGATACCTGCTTTAAGTCATTAAAGAAATAGTTCGACATTTTAATATGCTTACTTGCCGAGAGTAACATGAGAATATTGAAACCACTTTCATATTTGTACAGTAGATATGAAGCTAACACCAGCAGCAACAGAGGGAAACAGCTAGCCCTTTGTTCAACCCATGCAAAAACCTTAGTGTAAAAATGACACATGGTTATACAGGCTGCTTTGCGCGAAACTAACAAGACATATCACATTCATTTGTGAAATTTTCATCTAACTCTCTGCAAGAAAGCAAATAGGTGGATTTCTCAAAATGTCAAACAATTTCTTCAGCATATTGTTAAATATTCCAACCTGCATTTCATTTTAAAGCGAAGGGAATTCACTGGTGGAGTGGTAATCTTGACTAAACCTGACCTTTAATCCTATTCTGATGAATGTGGAAATCCATTGTTTTCTCTTCAAACACAAAGATTAAACCTCCCGTCCCCCCATCCACCATACTTCATGCTACAAACCATCTGCCTTATTCCTTTAGGAAATGTTGCGTTGGTGCAGGGGTGCACGAAAAGCCACTTCTCGCAGTCACATGCACCGAATGTGTTCCTATAAATAATAAAGGAAGACAGAGCTTCACATACATGAAAGCTGCAAACAGGAATATCGGAGGGATCAAATATTGAAGTCTTTAATCTTGACAAAGTGCTCATGTATAGTAGATCTATGAAACCAACAGCAAGAACATGCAAGTCCTGCTAATACAACTAATGAGAAATCTTCTAATTATTTCCCAGCTATTATGATCCTTTCAGTTGCAAAAGAATATCTGACAAGAACACGAACAACAGTAGAATGACCGTGGTGTGATTTCCTAATCCATCTGAGGACATTTTAGGATGAAAAGAATACAATCAATACCACTCTCATGTCTGTCCGGCAAATAAGGAGCAATAGCCTGCAGTAAGCGATTAGCTTAAAGAAGACTCCACCCTCTACTCATGTTCCTATTATTTCAAACAGCACAAAATTATCCAAGATTACATACAAACTTAAGAAATCAGTCCTGACTCCTGCTGGCACAAAAAAGTGATTTGCCATGTATTTAAATCGGTTCCTCTTATGCATCTGGACGTCACATTTTATTTTACAGTGGAGGTTTTTAGAGTGTAGTCTTAGGACAAGGTCTGTATTCATCAGATGACATGGACCTTTTAATATTGTTACATTTATCTATTCTCACATTTATAGAAATCAGCCTTGTCTGTAGAAGGAAAACTCCAACATCATAGGTAATGAAGTGGTTGCACTCAATGAAACTGAAACCCCTTAAATAATAAAAGCGGTGGCCCAGAGGTAGATACATCTGTAATACATGTTCTCATGAGAATATATATAATTCAAATTCACAAAACAAAAAATCTACCTTATTTTATGATCATAAAAAAATACTTGAATGCCGATTAGCTGACTGTCCAGACCAACCTTATTGCATTTAATTGATTACACACTATGTTGTCTACAGAGCAAAAACAGTAAAAAGGTACAAAATCAGTATTTTATTTTGTTTTGACAAAACTACAAATATCAACCGCCTATGTTAATCAGTCATCTCGAAATCCATCCAGTCATGTGAGATATGTTGCTCCCAGGTTGCTGCATGCGGAAGCGGAGGCTTTGGGCAGGAGACTGACTGGTCGTCTCCCAAAACTTGATCGCCACTTTTCCTGGTACCAGCAGAGGCTCTTTAAACTGGGCTGTGACGTTGACAGGAGCTGTGATGACTCCAACACCTGATGACACAACAGAGCAATGAGAAGGTCTGACCAGTGCTGCTGAAAACACTTTACACAATTAAAATATGTCTATTGACCTGTTTCACAGAGGACTTTCCATAACAGGAAAAGGAAATGTCTGCTGGGAAAAAGGCATGTGCCCTTATTTAAAAATCCCTTTAATAGCAAATATAAATGCTTTCATGAACTGGCTGCACGTTCAATTATTACAAAGTTAGATGAACCTATCACCTGTTTTGTCTTGTCCATAAAATCTTTTACCTTTGTGCTTTTCTATTTCAGCCAAGGAGACAGACAGCATCCAGAGACTTGGTGCAGTCTGCAACCTGCAGCCAAAGAGCCCGACTGGTAAAGAGAGGAGCCGGCAGAGGGAGTAGTCAGAGAAGGACCAAACACATCGCAGGCCGGTAGTCCTGGGAACTCTGAGCTCTACCAGCTTCATATTTTCTGGCACAGGCTCATCTGGTTGGCCTGTCAGAGCAGGGGAACATAACCGGAAAGAGTTTGAGTCTGCAAAAGGCTAAAAACATTCTTTGCAGAAATCACTGTAACACTGCTCACTCTCGTTTTCATCCTTGGGTGGGCTTCTGACGGCTTTGAGGAGCTTCTTTTTCGATAGAAACGTCAGCACACTCTCCCACACTGGGCACCCAGAGCGAGAAGTGGCAGACAGACAGATGTCCACCTCTACCCCTGCATCAATTTGCCGGTACTCCAGGACTCGAACCAGCAGCACGAAAGGACCTTTCTTCAGTTCATCAACTGGCTCAAGGGTTTTTATACTCTGATGCACACGTACCAGACCTGCAAAAGTAATTGACACTCACTGTCACATCACCACCATTTTCAAACCTTTTACTATAAACATAAAATATGGGAGTCAGGCCAGAGGGAATGAACTAAATACAATGTACTCAAAATGTTCCTTCTAGGTGTATGAGACATCTGCAGAAACCTCTGCTTAAAGAGACATGCATGCTGTCTTACCTGCTGGGCTGAGCCGAAAGTTTTCATCAGTTAGCAATATAAGCAGCAGTCTGCGACACAGAAACTCAGGGAAGCATAGTGGGATGTCTCTGTATTCGCTGTCTGGATAATCCCAACCATAACCAGCAGCACTGCAGAACCTCCTCAACAGGAGGGTCTCCAGCCTTAGAAAGACAAACACACTGACTCATACTGTGGATGACCAGCAGTCAACTCTTTCAGATAGTGTAAAAAGCTTCCCATTTAAAAGTTAACTGCAAGTGGGCCATGCTTACCTGCAGTTGAGGACAGTGTAAACAACCTCACACTTCTTTGTATTAGTTACTGTGTACAAGTAGCCTGTCCTCCGAGTCAGAGCTTTGGCCAAATATTTCATGTAAAGATACACGAAACTTGGAAGTCTGTCGTTGTTGAGTACCTTTGTTTTCAACAACTTATGAGAAGAGTAAATGTAAACATAAACTAAATATGCAGGACACGCAGTGATGGCGGCAACAACGCAAATCTGCGCGTGCCCCATTATTGCTGAAACTAAATAATTACGATGCAACACAGCAAGTTTACCGGAGACATTAAGCACTCTGTATCACTACTTATGAATTAACCTGGGTAATCGGGCCCATGACGCGAACACAGACTTTAATGTCTGCGTCGCTGGTTAAAAGTACGGCATGCGAGCTGAGACAAACAACACAGCTTCGGCTATTTCAGAAAACGAAACGCAGTAATAGGACACATAATGACTGTTAAAAAAAATATTTTTTTTCGAGCATTTTGACAACAACAGCACTTATTCATGAGTTAATTTACACTTTTCCAGTGTATAAAAATCACAACCATTTAACAGCCGGCTTCTTTGTGACAGATTTTCTCATAAAAGTACATTTTTTCATATGAATATTTTAATCAAAATCAAATTAAGTGTTCATTATACAGCATTTAATTGTGCTATTCAAATGAAGAGATAAATTAATCATTAACAGTAGCTGATGTTACGTATTTGAATTACTATGCCGTATAAAACCGGCATTAACAATTATCCCATGTCTTGATGTGAATTATCAAGTGACAACATTCATATTTAGGCTGACAGGAGACACTCTGTGTTTCAAAGAGATGCAATGTTTCTGCACAAGGGTTCCTGAGGTGATGGAGATGTTCTCCTGACAGCAGATTGGTTGGTCCCATCTTCACTCCTCTTCATCCGAACAGAAGCAGCAACACAATGCAGACTGAATTCACGGCAATCAACGGCACTGCAGAGCAAAAGAGATGACATGATCAGAGCCAAGAGGAGGCTCACTAGACTTGTTTGTTACTCACACTTAAAAAAACTGTGTGTGTGTGTGTGTACTTACCTCTCATCACTGTCCTCACTGAGCGGATGAGATTCATTAGCTGCACTTTGATGCCTGGTTCATCACCAAAACCACCAACACTTTGGTCTACTCCCCAGCCAACTGAAGGTGGTTAAATTGCAAAGACAGACAGGTTCAATATTAAAATAGAACATGCTTCAACTAAGTACTGTTTTCTTTACATAAAAAGACATTTCACCGATTGTCTTCATTGTATTTTGTTAAATACTGTTATATAAGTTGCCAGACCAGTGTTTTAATTCCCCACCTTTTGCTAAGCTTATGTTTGATTGTTGTACTTTGTTTATAAAGTTATGTGTGGCTTTTCAAAAGTAGGACATTGTAACGAATTTAAATTCAGACAACCTCTGTCACACACTTACAGCTGTTCATTAGAGGCTGGTGCACCAACTCTAGATAATGTTCACCCTTCGCCGATAAAGATTTTTATGTTCTTACCAGTTTTTGTTAATAGCCAGTTAGCATTAGCTAAGTACTATTTCGCATTTCACATATCATAAGCGCATAAAATTACAAAAACTACAGCCACTTACTTTTACTCAGAAATCTTTCTTCGTGCAATACAGCGACAGCATTGACACACAGGATTGCTGCTTGAATGAGAGAGTACAAACTAAAAGCCATGTTGTCTTAAGTAGCTAGCTGGAGGTTAGCACATAGTATTTACTTCTGACGTAGCCTACGGTGGCCGCGGAAGTACAAATCTAATGACAGCTTGTTTGTTCGACACACATTAACTTAAGTTATTAAGTTAAGTAAACATACAACCCTATAAAAAACTGTATTACAAGTAAGATTACTCTTATACTGTACGTTTAAAATTGTATCTACAAGTATTACCAGAAAACTATAAGGTATTAAAATTAAAACCACCCCCCCATCAGCCTTATAGTTTTATTGGACCATTGTTATTACGCATTAAGATGTAATAGTACTGCAATGTTGTAATTGATTGAGGTGGGGTATAATTTTTATTGCTTTATGTGTTTTTGGATAATTTAATCCATAACAATGCATCATATTTATAAACTGATCACATTTTGTATATAAAATCTTCTTCTGAAAGGTAAATAATAAGAAAAGCATCAAACAAAAAGAACAATATTTTAAATGTAGTGGAGAAGAAGTATGAAGTACCAGGAAAATGGAAACACCCAATTAAAGTACAAATACTTCAAATGTGTACAGTAAGCACAGTTTACAGTGAGTAAATGTACTTAGTTACATTCCACCACTGTACACCCTTTACTAAAGTGGCGATCACACAATGTATTCCATTTCAAGTGCAGCATTCAAAAGTATATGAAAATATCAAGTTAATCAATAAGCATTACTTGCAAAATATAGGTAAAGTTTGATGATTATTATTATTGATGCAATAAAGTGTAAGTAGTCAATGTTGAGGAGTTTGATGTGTAAGACATAAATCACATTTTGTAAGCTAATCATATGTTTTGTATATAAAATCTAAATCTGCAAACTATGGCAGTCAGATAAATGTACTGGCATAAAAATTTAAATGTTTGTCTTTGAAATGTTTTAAAGTAAAATACAGTGGAAACCTTTCAGTCATCACATCTGTTTGTGTCAAATTGGTCACTATAAGCAGATTCCGAGCTTTTTCCTATATTTTATTGTGTATGAAAATACCCAAATTGGAACACTGTAATCATACTACTTAATTTTTAGCAAATTATTTAAACAGCATTTGTATAGAAATTATTCTGTCCCAGGTTTACTCATCCACTGCTTAAAAAGTGGAGATCTTGTCTGATAATGTTCTCGTACTACTCAGCAAACATTTGAACACTTTACAAGAGGGTTATGGTGCAAAGTCTGATAAGTTATCCAAGATGACACTGTTGACCCAATAGATGAGCAATTATTATAGTCTTTACTGTACTGTAGACCATATCTACAATCAAGACACACACACACACACACACACACAAATCATGAGAATAAAAATCTTTATTAGTGTTTTATGAAGTCTGCATAATATGCCACACGCCTGAGAAGCTTATGGCCAGAAAAGAAAAGAAAAAAACAAACAAAAAAAAAACAAACAAACAAAAAAAAAAGAACTGCTCTATCAATATCGCCCTCTACTGGTAAAACAACTGCGACATCTACTGTACTGACTGCTTTGCAAAAAGATTACTGTTAAATACACACATACTGTACTACTGTTATGTTTATGTACGTCTGGTCCACGTCAGTTTTTGTAATGTATTTTTTCACATTCATATGTTGTAGGCCAAAGATAAAAACAATGTAACACTGGACCCTAACACATGGTTCAGTTCCCCAAATCCAAACTTCACTAGGTGCACTTAAAGTACAATCACTAGTGCCATAAGGTAAACACATTTACATCAAATAGAAGGGAGGGAAAACGTGTTAAATTCGCAACAGCCACGTAATGACAATAATGGCAGAGTTTAAGCTAATACGTCTTGTTGTACATACTGTATTTTATAGACAGAACAAATACAACACACACACATAAACACAGAATGTCCCAGTGTGCAGGCACATTCGCGCTTCTTTTCTCCCATGTTTCTGTAACATTTTAAAAGCCAATTGTATCTGGTTGACCTTAACCCGCTTGATTAAGCACCAAAAGGCTACTAGAGGTCACGTGTGTTTTCAAAAAACAAACAAAAAAAGAAATAAAAGTGAAGAAATGAATGAATGAATGGCCATTACAAAGTTTTACATGCCTCTGGAATCATTAAAAGCATTACAAGAAAGTAGGTTTTGGGTTTGTTGTTGTTTTGTGTACTTTAAATGCACCAGATTTCTTTGGAAAAACAAAGGATAGAAACAGGCTACACATCATGTGGGGCAGTGACTTTTTTTTTTTTTTGACAAGACAAAGAGCTGCAATTGGAGATGAATTCAAACAGAACCTTTTGGGTAAAATGAAGGAATGATTCATGCCCCTCATGTCACTTTAGAAACAGCTGTGGTCTTGAAAATATTACTTTAATAAAAAGTGAACGACAGAAGATTTTAAGTATATTTATATATAAAAATACATGAGAATACAAAAAAGTAGCAAAACAATGGGGATATAGGCTAAAAACAGAATGGATTCATTAAAACCTTCTATTTCTCCTGGTGAGACGTTTAATGCTTCACCTTGGAGAGCCCCAGGACTCCCAATGTTGTGTCAAAAAGAGGAAAAAAAGCTTTAGATAACAGCTGATATTCTCTGGTCCCTGCCCAGTGCACCTTGGAAAAGCCTGGCCAACACCTCATTAGCTTTCATACCAGGCTGGACATGTAGAGTGCCATATAATGACAAAGAAATAAACTACAGCCAGATCAAGCTTGCAGTTTGTTTGGGGTTTTTGAATAATTTTCTTTTAACTAACATTCCTATTTGTCCATTAAGAAGTATGTCTTATAACGACACACGTCGAGAGTTACAAAAAGGGCCATTACGGCAAAGTCAATTCAATCAAATTTTATAAACACATTGTGGCGTTTCCTTCAGAGGACAACGGCCAACAAAGGCCATCGTTTCTTCACCTAGCAACCTCCCCCTGACAACTGATGGGGCCAAGTTTCCCAGAGAAAAGTAAACTTAGGTTTAGAACAATGGTTGGGGTGGGCTGGAACAAAAATCATTTTAGCATTCAAGCTCGTGTCACTCATACAAGCAATCTTCAATACTGAGAAACTATTCACAGATATTTTTGGTATTTCCCCTACTTCCTGGACTAAAAACCAATATACATTTTATTTGTACCACAAATAGATCTAATATTAAGGATTTGGGGAAAAGCAATTTAACAAGGTGCATGACATAGATGGGTAACAAAGTGCCAATTTTTTTTACTGAAAAGTCTGTATGTGTGTGTGCGCGTGTGACAGTGTAGCTGCATTTGTTCTTGTGTGTGTATTTGTGTGTAAAGTTAAGAGGGATGTGGAACTGGGCCACAAATACTATGAAGAATCTTACAGAAAATTAATTCTGTGGGGTTTCCATTTTTTTTTTCATGAAAGGACTCACAAGTTTAGAATTTAATGATCATGTAATGGACTGTGTTTTTTGGGGGCGTTTCAATAGCTGTCTACGACATACTGGAGCAGCGTGCAGATGGGGAACCCATCTGGGTCAGAACCTTGTCCAGCCACTGCAATGGACCATTCAAATGCAACTCGATCCAGCAAGGAGTGCTTGTGACAGTCTGCCGCCTGGAAAACAAAGATGTAGAATTTAATGTCTGGGATTGTGCTAAGCCTTTTTTACTCCTAACAACACGTGATTTATGATGCTTCAATGCTTTATTATGTACACTATGCATCACTGCTGCCAGGAAGTGGGTGTTGTGGTTAGGAGGTCTCGACTTAAAATGTAAAGAAGGAAATGTGTGTGTGAAAATAAACCTACAATGGTAACTTCCACTCTGAAACATAGGCTACATTCTTAGAAAGAAAAGCAAAATTAAGCTACTGGTGAGGAAGCAAAACTTCCCTTAACTAAATGTTTCAGATAAATTTTCCAGGTCATAAGCCATAACAGATAAACAATTAAATACTGGTAAGTTTTTAAAAATCAGCTTAATTCAAGTCTGTACATATGTAGTATGTTTAAAATTAAGCTGTTCAAATATAGTATTGCAGCGCTCACCTGTACTCGGCTCCCCAGCCTTTGACAAAGCTCATGCGGATGGTGCACATCCTGGTGAGCTGGTAGACTGCCTCAAAGCCCTGGTTGACTGACTGAGCCAGCAGGGCTGCAAATTCCTGGTTGTTGAAGATCTTTAGATTACAACCTATAAGGAACAAAGAGGTTAACAGTTTATGTGGGGTTTGCCAGAGATTCTTAAAAAAAAAAGAAAAGAAAAAAGAATAGGGGGAAATAAAATTCTTAGGGCCAACATTTGGCCTTTGGTTGGCAGTGGTCTGTCATTGTGTATCTGTGGCTAATTATTGCCCAGCGTGGTTGTGGTGTGTTTGGCATTGTAGGCTCTACTTTGCCTTAATAGGTGGCAGTTGGGATTCATGAACATGCTGCATGAGCATCAGAGCCAGTAAGTGAGACAGAAGAGAAATAAAAAGTCTTTCTCACGTTACTACAGCATCCTCATGCATTCTTCACAGCAAAGTTGTGTGCAACTTACCACGAACAAATTACCAGCAGAAACACAGAGCTAGCTAGATAACTGTAGCGACAGTGGACGGCGAGGGTCAATCAAAGAACTGCGATACAATTACTGACCGTCATACCTTATATGCCGCCACCACTCTGCAGAGTCTATGCAAAACACAACGTGGTCAGTCAACTTATGTGTTGTAGTGATGAGAGTTTGTAATGAAGTAGATCTATTTCAGAAACCGGCCAATGGCGGCTGACCTCATTTATTTATTTGCCAATGTAGATTTGTACTCGCGTTTGGCGAGTGGCAAGAGTAATTTTGACTCTGGCTGGGTATGCATGGTCTTCTTCAGCATCATCATCATTTGCATGTAAAAAGCTGGCTAGTCTACTGATATCTCTTGCTCAAAGGGCATCTTACAGTTATTTTCAGCAAATGTTCCTGAGTGCTACACAAGTGACAACTTCAGCATCTTACCTGGAGGAATTTTACACACGGTTGCTGGATGCCAGCCATACCGCTGGTTACAGTTTGGACTCTGGACAAAGATGGCGCTATCACTCAGGCACTCGGCAAATACCTCCCCTCCAATGTAGTAGAGTCTAACTCCTCTTCCTGTAAAACACAGACAGAAACTTTTTCCTCATCAACTACAACAAACACCCGACAAGATGGGGCAACGTGCAAGACTAGACCTGTGACACATCTCAAAAGCTAAAAGAAACTACAAGAGGCTAACTGGTTGTCTACAGACCATAAATTACTGTAACACTACCTGAAGCTGTGCCATACCTATGTGCCTCCGGGTCATCTCCACAGTGGCGTTCCTGTTGACATTAGACAGCAGGCCTAGGCAGAAACGCTCAGAGTTTGATGGATCTGTGAATCCATCCACTGTCAGCGAGGGCTGAGAAGCGTGGAACGTCTCCCCTACTCGCTGGTTCAGCTCGTAGTAGGCTATAGAGCACCAGAAGGCTGGCTCCGAGTAAGTCACCGGCTGCAGGTCTACAGTAGAGGATTACATCAGCAAAATCTTTTTGATACAACACTGTTCATATGCTGATGAAAAGATACACGCACTGCAAATGTCTGTGTATATAATATTAACCAAGGTGCCAACCAGGGATGCATTAATATACAGTTCTGGTCTATGTGTTGTTACAGCTGGGAAGGATTTGCATCTTACCCATGCTGTGATTGACAGGAGACAGAGTGCTGGGGGAGAGCTCAGCTGGAGAACCTGACAAAGGAAACAGGAAGTCATCGATATGGATGGGTTCACAGGAGACCATCACATGAGGAACAGGTGGATCAGATCAAAGACTTATGATGAAAGTGGTGGCTGCTTTGCAAAGGAATGTCACTACTGTGAAAGTGATGTGTTTGCATTAGCATGAAGAAGAGATACCGTTTACTGTTGCCATAACAAAAGTTTCTGATAGACTCTGATAGCTGCAGTGCATCTTTCCAAACCTCTAAAATGGGTTCTGGTCTATAAAACATGATACACCTTTGTCTTGTTTACAGTGATTTTACTTTATTACATAGTTCCTTTGAATACTTTCAACTGTTTTGTTGTGTTGCTGACACAATGACGTGCATCTTTAACAGATTTATTCCATGGACATATACATCTGACTGTGACCTGGCTGTGGAGGTAAGGCAGACTCACAAGGAAAGGAGGAGGAGTTGCTAGTCTAGTGTACCTGTGTCCATACTGTGATTCAACTGTTGATCGCTGGCCTCCCCGTCCTCACTGATGTAGCCTGGTGGAGGTGTTTCTGTTGATATGATGCAGGGGTGTAAAAATGAGTTGTGATAATTTAATAGGGCTGTTTAACCTACTGAAATCAAGGAAACATTTTTATCCCTTTAAGTGATGTAAATGGAAAATGCAGGGGGAAGATAAACCCAGGATGTAGAGAGCAACAAGTTTGTATTTGATGACAATACCAGTATCTACGTTGCATATACAAACTAGATATGTGTAATACAGTAATAATACAGAAACCTTGAATAACAGTTTCTTCACTACCAGATTTCAGTTAGCACATTATGTAACCCCCCAGTGAAATGGTCAAATATAGTCCCTCCCATCCAGTGCAGAGATAAACACACCTGGTATATAGTTGTTTGGAGGTTCGATTCCTGCAGGAAAGTTCGTGTTCTCCGGTATGGAATGAGTGTAGTCATCCAGAGGTGGCAGCTCTGGCAGGATATCTGAGTGTCTTGGCACAAGAACAGGAGGCAGCACTACAGCGTTGGGTAAAAGTTAAAGAAGGGATGAGTTAGACTTCCATCAGTTACATGCTTCTCTAAAATGACTGTCAGTTGTTTTTGGACAGTAATGCAAAGAAAATCATTATTGCAACAGCAATAAGACAATGATGAAACTAGAACAGGGAAACTTAAACTGAAATCTTCAACTGTGGCTTATTCTTATGGCTTGTCCATTCCTGAAACGCTTAAAAGGAATAGTTTGACATTTTGCGAGATTAACTCTTTTTTTTTTTTGCTGAAAGTTCCTTGCGAAGATTGACACCACTCTCATATCTGTTTGCTAAAATGCTGTATAAAGCCCCTTTTCCACTGCTCGGTACCAGCTCGACTCAACTTTTTTTGGTTTTCCATTGCGGAAAAGTTGTACCAGTACCTGCTACTAGGTCTGTTGAGGTTCCAAGCGAGCTGAGGTGACTAAAATGTGAAACACAGCAGACTGCCGATTGGTCAGAGAGAATATTCACTATTCACTGCATCATCATTGCTGCACCAGACAGAGGCCAGCAACAGAAAGTTTTACATTTTACAATTTTCGTATGGAATTTCATCCGTAAATCCACTTCTGAGAAGTTTTGAGGTTAGAAATCAGCTGTGTAGATTTTGAATATTGACAGTTTTACGAGAAGTGATGGCGGAACAAAAATGTGCTGTGAGTTGAGGAGCTCCGCAAGTGGCTGCGGGGTAAGCCTGCGCCAGGAGCGTGTGAGGCCGGACAGCCGCCCGCTCACAGAGCCCTCTGCTCCCGCCGCCACACAGACCGACGCAGCAACAACAGCAGAGGAAAACACAGCTGGAAGGTTTTCATACCGCTTATCTGTCTTTACATTCTGAGCAATGTTCAAACGTAACGTAACTTAAATCAAAAGAAAGCTGTATGTGGGTCGCTGGTGTGTGTGTCGCATTGAAAATTCTGTCGTGGCAGTTGTGTGTGGCGTCGCTATGACGACCAGCTACGTTGAGGGGTACTATCTCTGGGTACTATCTGCAATGGAAAACGGAGCACGGCCAAACAGAATTGAGTTGAGTAGAGTAGCCTTAGCATAAAGACCGGAAACAGGGGAAACCGTTTAAAAGGAGCCAGTAGGCCTGTTTTGTTACCAGTGGAAAGAGCCAGGCTAGCTATTGTTTTTTTAATGCGAGGCGGCCGTTGGCTGTTGCTTCATATAGTGTATATGCTATTGATCTTCTCATCTAACTCTCAGCAAGTAAGCAAAGGACACAGACAGGCCCATTTCCAGATCTCTAAGGCTAAAACACTTTCTAGGAAATACAAATATCTTTAAAAATGTTGGTGTTTAACATTCAGTGAACTTTTCAAGGTCAGATTTAAACAGAGAAGCAACCAACATGTAGTAGAAACTAAAATACAAAAAGATGTACATGCTTTAGGTAACAAATGTCCACTGGAAAGCGTTATCTCACCTGGGGTCTCCACCCTCTGGTAGTGGTAGGGGTTGATGCAGACCTCATCCTTCTTTAGGTGGAAGGCATACTCACACGCCTCAATGGCACGTAGCTCGTGGTGGCTGTGAAGGTCTGGCCATCGCCACAAGCGGCAGTAGATAACATGGGGAAGCCCCTTCCTGTGGGAGACCTGCAGACGGCCGTCCAGTGATCTGATTGAACAGCAAACAGGAGATGGTGGTGAGATGGGTAGAAGATACACAGGGATGAGGGGTGACAGATAATATGGCCAGGTAGGGGAAGGAAATGGAAATGGATTGAATTGAGTTGTGACGAGAAACAAAGATGTTCTCAATGTCCGTCACCTTCAACATTGTCATGACAACTCTCCCACATCAAAGTTGTATGCAACACCATACAATAGTTGAGGATAGTCACCTGGTTTGGTCAGGGTAGCTGTATAGGCCTGATGTATCCCACTGTTCTATCGTATTTGGTGTACTCAGTCCCCATATTTCAGAGCAATTGCTGTGCACAGAGAAAACAACAAAACAAAAACAAAAAACAAATGATAAACATGGGACATGGCTCATTCAGAAATATCAGTATGGGTAATGTAAACATTAAAAGGCCTCTTTTATTAGAGTCTTATAGCAAAATAAAGACATCAAATTCATTTTCAGCTGTGGAAATGAAAGATGGGAACTTCAAATAAGAGAAGCCTTTTTGACAGAATTAAGGAAAAAAACATAACATGGAATCTGCTAACACACAATGAGTGAGACAAAGAGCATTCTTCAACAGTGTGGCATTGTATCAAACACCGAAAATAACTCAGAACGTATCTGGAGACATTCAAATAAACACTGACGACACACAATGGTACAAAGAGGGAGGGGGGGGGGGATCCATTTTCAGACATTCTCAAAACATTCACAAGAAAATGGTCAACAACTAAGAAATAAAAAACTTGGAATGAGGACAAATGAGAGTAGTTGCTTCTGAATAACAGGGCAATAACAGATTTTACATGTTAAATGCTACAAATACATGACAACATGTACTAGGCTTAATTACTTTAGTGGGATCCCAACTACCATTCATGATTGCAATTGTCTGATTCATGACAGGGCAGGAAACCAACTTATGCCCACCAGCCATAGCAGATTGTAGATCCAAAAATTTAACAGCTTTTTTTACTGCAGGAAACCAGGTGTTTAGAGCAGTATCAATCCAAATGCCGAACGTACCTGTACCTGCCAAAGTGGCAAGCAGGGTAGAGAAGCTCCCCAATCACAATCAAAATGTACCAACGTGAGTATGGCTGGTGGTAATGCCCAAATCTGGCATTATTTTGGGTTTGTAACCCACCCTCTCTCACATAGATATCCTCTACAAAAAATAATTTCCTTCATGTCGAGCCAGCCACTCAATGTCTACAAACATAACAGTGAAGCCTAGAACAATTCTCAGGCGATAACAACCAGCCTGCTATCTATAGACATACAAGCATCTGATGTGGTACTTGTTGGCACATCAGTGAGGAATGAATCTGTTAACACAGTGTTCCCACTGAACATGAGTCTGGGCCATCAAGGCTGGCTAGCTGATAAAGAGAACTTCTTCTCTCACCACTTTTAATGTCTCTCTCCACATGAGTGTAATACAAATTGTGCAACTGTAAGTACAGTTGTAAACAAACAGTGATTTAATATTTAATTTTCAGCTCATCTTAATGAGAAATTTATGCTCTACCATTTTGCAACCTTAATCACATCCCTAAACAAATCTTTCCATATTCCCAACAGTTTTACATGTTTGGTAATGATCGCAGGAAGTTATGTTAACAGAATTAAGAAAAGAGAAGCGCAAGCATCTGCTAACAGCCCATGGTTTCAGATGAGGTCTTAAACTAAGCACATCTGCAGAAACATGTGTAACAGCAGCAGCAGCAGCTTTTTTGTTTGAACAGCAATCAAGTGTTGGGCAGTATACCTGGGGATGGTGACACACTTGGTGTTGCAGTTCTGTGTGGTGATAGCTTTCTCCAGCTCATCTAGCTGGCCTGTTTTCTTTAGCTTCTTCACTAAGCTCTTCACAGCCTTCTCACACCATTTCTCCTCTTGCCCGTTCTGCTCTCCACCGCCCGCTCCGCCTGGGCCGTTTGTCGACTTCTTCCAACCCAACAACCTCTTCACCACAGGAGGGGTGAATGGCAAGATGGAGGACATCTTAGCTGGATGAGCCGGGAGTCTCCAGAAGATGCAATACAAGCTCTCACACAGACAGACAGAGGGGACCTAGAGCTACAGTTGGGCCCTTGCTCTGACGGGGCCCCTCTGGTGACCAGTGAGTCACAGGATGGAAGCCAGTGCTAGCAGGGTATACTCAAAAGAGATGGACACCTTGGGAGAAAGTTACACACAAAGTACATCATTACAAACACAATATGGTACAGAAAAGTTTCCACCTAGTCTCATCAAAACATTAAAAACATTACTCGCTGAATAACTTAGTGAACAGTAAGTTTGTTTTGGCGGCAGCATTGCTATGGTTACATAACTGCTTCTGGAGTAAAGTTAGCATTATGTGAGTTGAACAAACAGAGATGCCCACTTGACGTTAGCTTGTCACAACCACTACTCGACATGCAAGCTAGCTAGCTTGCAAACTTGTAAAGTTAACACGGGCCTCACACTGTCGCGACGTAATCACGACCAGCTTCTAATGAACATAATGAACAATACAGTGAACGCTATCAACTGGATGTGAACAAGGAGAGTATTTTGTGACAGCCCCCCACCCCCCTGTGCTACACCAAGTGGCTTGGGAAGGCCGGCTGCTAGCTACCTGATGGGGGGCCTGCTTGACTCAAATCACAACAATAAGTTTACTAGCGTTAGCTTGTGCTAAATGCTGAAATAATCTAAGCGAAAAGCAAAAACTATAGTCAATGTAACTAAGCTGATCGGAGGCAATTCGTGGAGAAGTCCTCATCCAGCTTGGTCAGCTAACATTAGCTTAACTAAGCTAGCTAGCTGCCAGCTTGTTATCAAAAATCCTTTTGTTGTGATCCACGAAGAAACCTTCTATGCGCAACAGTCAAGTCGTGCTACTTTGCTACCTAACGTCAGCTTGTCAAATACATCCAGGCTATAATAATAACATAATGTCACTTCACGGATTTCAATCTTGTCGTGTTTTATTACAACGTAGCTAACTTAATCAATGTTTGTGACTTTTGCTAAAATACAGACACAGCAGCAAAATGAGTTAGCATCTTGGACTAACTCTTCCAAACTGAGCCCTGGCTCCCGCTGGCTAACGGACATACATCCCTCACACAAAACAGCATGCTTCAAAGTCGAACAAACAGCAAAAGCTTTTCAATAGTTACCCCAGTTTTAAAGTCCAAAGGTCTGCTTTTGGAGAAAAAGCTTTGCACGGCCCTCTAAACGCCCCGTGGACATTAAACTGTATTGTACTGCAGCTAATTTTGACAAGGCTCTTTTCAAGTTGCTACCAGTGCTACTGGAGCTAGTTTGCTAGGTTAGGTAGACCGGAACAACAAAACAAACATGATGGCTACGTACTAGCCCTTAATCCCTCCTATTCAAAAACTCATTGGAGGGTTACAAGACAACAAATAGTTGATGTATTTGATCATCCTTATTGTTTATGTGACAGCATGGGTCAGCGTGACATTCAGAGAGGTTTGGGACATTTTCACGGGATAGGAACTCATTAACGTTAGTTACATTTTCTACAACAGTAGTATAAAAGCAAAAACAAAAAACAACAATAAAAAAGAATGATACAATCAATTACAGCAATTTGTTATTGGAGGAGGTCCTGGATGACTTTTAACGTTTCTACTCTTGTTTATTGTTTATATATGTCAGAATAACAACTGCTCAGGATAATATGAAGCATTAGCTCCTCCCCTCAGTCAATTAGGTTCCATTGGCCGCACCTGGATCATTATAAAATGCTACGTTTTTGCACTTGTGCCGTTTTATTTTATCTGTGGCGATGGGTGGACGTTTGTTTCTTTGTGTTGTCCTGTTGCAGTTGTCAGGGCACTCGCAAGGTGAGCCAGGTGTACCAAAACTAATTTTACACAATCTAAAAAAAATATCCTGTTTGGACTTCATGCATTATCATTTATTAAAAGTGACATTTCAGTTCAGACACAGAATGATGGCTGCATTATGAGCTATAATCTTTACTTTAGAGGTGACACGTTTCTGCTCACTTAACTCAAACCGTTGTTTCAGCTGGAAGACCTCCTCTGAAGTGTGGCCTGGGCTCTAAACTGTGCAAGGATGGCCTAGAGTGTGTCTTGGACAGTCGTGTGTGTAATGGAGAGCCTGACTGCAGGGATGGTTCAGATGAAAAGGACTGTGCTTCAGGATGCACTGAAGGTACTGCAGTGTATCCACACATAATGTATGGTGAAGTCAAATAGTACTTGTCATTAATTTTGAGGTTTATTTGATTTTGATAAAAATTTTAACAAAATAAGCAAATTACTGATTAAATCAATATCTGATTTTGTTTAGTGTATTCTCAAGATTTTTTTCATCTACATTGTTTTTTTTTTTTTTTTTTTTTACTAAAACCCTCAATCCTAATGGACTACTGAAACTCTTACACTACACAATGGATAAAGTCAACAGGTGCTGTCATCAAATGGAAATTACAAAAAAATAGAATCTGGTTCACACTCCTGCCTGTAGATCTGAAAACACTAGAGTTCGGTCCTGTAAAGTGAAATCCAGTCAGTTTTTTTTTGTAAGGTACACCAAAGCTAAAACTAATGCAGTTAATTTTTGTTGATTCAACTGTGTGGTTGTTGTAGAAAATTAATGGACATAAAGGAATGTTTAATTTGGAGGTTGCAGTTTGTTAGGATGTTAAATTTTATTGTTATACTGACATGTGTTATTTGGCCCACCCTGTTTATATCATTGAGAGTAAGCTAAATAACATCGGTGTTATGCCATACAGTTCAACAGGACTACAAACTATATCCTCGTCCAAAAATGACCAAACAGCTGAAACGGTTTCAACACACACTGAACATTATTCCTTTCATGAAGGATTTATTGTAGGACTCTGTAGTAGATGCATTACTTTCAGTTTTAATATTCTATCTGGCATCCAATCAAACATATCAGCAATTTTTTGAATGCCTGCATACAAACAGATCAGTTCCAGTGTGACCATGGGAAGACTTGTGTAGACAAGGACCAGGTGTGTGATGGTACACCTCAGTGCCGGGACCGTTCTGATGAGCTTCAGTGCACGAAGCAAACTGAGAGCTGTGTTCACCACTGTGACAACAAGAGTCGCTGCTTGCCTGCGAAGTTCCTGTGTGATGGACGGAGGGAATGTTTAGATGGCACAGATGAGGCCAACTGTGGTAGGTTGAAATTATCGGACAATATAGATCTGTTTAGGCGATAAGCACGTCCATATTTCATACTTTCATAATATGCAGTCTTGAATCATAATGTTTACCAGTTTTATATTTGGCATCTGCATCAGAGGATAAAGAGGAAGACTGGTATGAAGAGGAAGGGACCAGTAAATCCTCTGTGTTTGCTGCCTCTGTCGGCTCCCCGGCCACCATCAGGTGTCCTTTGGGCTCTAAACCCTGCAAGGACAACACGGAGTGTGTCATCTACAACCATGTCTGTGATGGAGAAGCAGACTGCAGAGATGGCTCTGATGAGGAAGACTGCTTATCGGCGTGTGAAACGGGTAAACTGGTGATTGGTTTGTGTGTGTGATCTCCTGTACATGGGTTAAGAATAAGACTTTACTACCCTATAGTGCATAGCATTCATTCTAATTGTGTTTGCACATCTGAATCTAATGCCTTTCTCTCGTACATTAAATGTAGAGGATGTTGCTTCAGTGACACTGTATTGACTTGAATGTAGTCAAAATGTATATGGATGGATTTTCCTCACTGCAAAGTAGATAATTGTGCAAATTATTCATGGGTGGTAACCATTAACAAATAGCATATATATAACAAAGGAGAACAAAAGAACCCAGATATTTTGGGGTGTGTTCACAGGATTATTAATGGAGGACAGTTGCATTCACTAAAACTGGGAACAAACTACACAATTTAAAGCCCAGTCCTGACAGTCTCCTGATCATGCCTTTATAACTTCTTCAGACCAATTCCAGTGTGCCCATGGAAAGAAGTGCATAGAGAGGAGTCAGGTGTGTGACGGTGTGTATCAGTGTCAGGACCGCTCAGATGAACAGGGATGTGCCAAGCACATGGACGGCTGCACTCATCAATGTGACAACAAGAGCCGCTGCATTCCTGATAACTTCCTCTGTGATGGGGAGAGGGACTGTTGGGATGGCAGTGACGAGGCAGACTGTGGTATGTTGTCGAACAGGATATTAAGTACTCACTGTATTAACCAGCTCTGCTTGTATAGGACACCTTTTGTCATCCTTGCCCCTGCCCCCTTTCCATAGCTGACGAGGGCTGCAGTGCCACTGATTTTAAATGCACCAGTGGCCAGTGTGTGTCGGCCACAATGCGTTGTGATGGTCACCCAGACTGCTGGGACCGCTCCGATGAGGAGAGGTGCACCAATGCATCGGTCTGCACCACCAAACACCACTGTCCCCAGAGCAAGGAGTGTCTGGTGCAGGAGTGGATCTGTGACGGCGATCAGGACTGCAAAGATGGCACGGATGAGAAGGTGGATGTTTGCGGCAACAGCACAAATTTGATGGGCAGAAGAAAACTTAGTGGGTCCAAGCAGCTGTAACCCTGTTGTATGTATTAGGATTATTCTTCTACTTGTACCCTAAAAGGATCTGGGACTTGGAAACCATAACAGTTCCCAAACTTTGCAGATAGGTTGGAGATCTCACTCACTACTCAGACAAAACATTCTCTAGATGGTAGGGCTAGAACAACAAATTCAGACCTTTAAATACCTATTTGCGTCATCTAAAGTTTGTCCAAACACACTTTCAGCACTCGGCTTCAGAATTTTCACTTAGCATACCTGGACCAATCAGAAAATATTCCATACAATTTTGAAATTATGCATTTTTACAGCTGTCTCTTAAAATTTAATTTTACACTCCATAAATCAAAATTGACCTATGCTTGGTCCAAGCTTTGCTGAGCAGTCCTGGGATATTCTGCCACTATGGGGCACCACACATGCAAATGGATTTTTATCTTGTATTTGGCTGCATAGATTTAAACAAATTAGGTTTGCACAACCAAGGGTCGTCGCTCAGTTGATGGATAAAAATTGTGCAGTGACTACTTAAAATAGGCGTAGCTTATAACTGTAACTTCTAGCCTCTAGCTTGCCAGTTACCTATTGGCAGATAGTATTTCAAATGGTGGTCAGATCGGTTAAACGCTGAGTCCACTAATTCAGTATCCTGCTGCAACTTGTTCAGTATGCACATTTTCTTTTTACTCAGGGTTGAATCAAATGTCACCCAAATACTTGACAATGCACCAGAAATCTGCAGAATTGTGACTTGTTTCAGAATTACTTATCACATTTTGACTAGTTTTAATTTTAAACACACCAGTCTGGCACATGTCATGTAACTGCCTTAACTGTTGTGTGGAAACCACATGTCAGTGGCTCAGTCAGTAAGTCACCTTCTCTTGGGATACAAAGTTCCAGGATTTAAATCCAAGTGGATAGATTCTACTTGCCAACAATGAAGCAATTCATGCATGTGGTGTTTGCTCGTTAGGTCATATTAAATTGAAAAATGCACATTGTGTCCCTTTTGAAAATGTTTTTCTCTGCTAAAGTATTTCTGCAGTAAAAAAACGTAATGGACAAATTGCCAGATGGGTTGCAAATTCCAACTACTCAGGCACATAATGACACACATTGACCTCAAGGTGGTGCTGAATCAAGTTTACGGTTTCAGAAATGGCTGGGCCTAGAGTCAAAATTTGTCAAGTCCTCTGCTCTACAATGATTAGGATATCTTGTCAGAAACCCTTGGGCCAATCGTCCCAAAATTTAATCAGGGTCATCCATGGACTCCAGTGATCTTTAAATTGTTTAAAGAAATTTTCAATTCAAAAAAAGTCAATTTCAATTATACAAGCCAATTTTTTTGAAATGGCAACAAATGTGACAAATATTCACTGACCATAATGAAATTATTTTTGAAAGATTTCTATAACTCAACAGATCAGCATACAGTGACAATGATTTATTAAGACAATCAGTTTGCTTGTCAAGCATCCAACTGCTCACTCTGCTTGGACCCGGTCACTGGCTTTTGTAGTATTCACTAAGTTTTCAGGAACAAGGTAAATGCAATCCTAAAATGTGAATCAGACTGAGTTGAGGATTGGACCCTATTTATAGGATTATATTTACTTGTAAAACCACTGTACAGCAACACTAAAACCTTGACCTAACACATACTGTAGTACATGTTCATCTCAGATTTATTGTTCACATACCCCTTTGCCACACATTTCTTAATGTGGTTTTAGAGTACTACAGTTATGCAAATGCTAAATGGAGTTTAAAGCCAGATACTCTAATGGTCTAAACATTCACCTGGCCTCTTGATGCCTCCAATTTCCAAAACAAAAGCAAGAGTTTAGATGACAATAAAATAATCTATTGGTTTCTCTATAGGATTGTCCTGTGCTTCCACTGAACTGTGGTGAGTACCAGTGGTTGTGTAAGTCCAAGTGTATCCCTACAGCTTGGAGGTGTGACGGCATGAAGGACTGTGACGATGGCAGTGATGAGACTGAATGTGAGTAGCAGGGTAAGACAAAATGAAACCACATGAGCTTGCCTATATTACTTTTATTTCAAAATGCAGAATATCTGTAAAATTTGTGTACTAGGTGGGGTGGTGACATGCCTCCCTCACCAGTTCCAGTGTGGCAGCCAGGAATGCCTGGATCCACTCCTGGTGTGTAACAACATTACCAACTGCGCAGACGGCTCAGACGAGGGAGGCAGCTGCCAGATAAACTGTGCAGATAACAGGCGCTGCTCTCAAAGCTGCCACAGCACCCCACAGGGAATGGTGAGGACCCTGTATCTCCAGCTTGGTGTGGTTGAAGTTAACCAATTAAGTTGAGGTCTGTCCTGCAAGTCGGTGGCATTAAAAGGGAAGAGGAACGCAGTAGAAACTGAACTGTGAATGTAGTGCTGAATTTTCTGAAAGACTATTCTGGATGAGTTTTATTTTATATTTAAGTAAAATGTGTAGGCTGAGTATCTCAACTACATGATGGCTAACCCTCAAAGTGTGTAATGTGGATGTTGCTGCTACTTTGACTAATTCTTTATTCTGGCTGTGTAGCGTTGTCACTGTGAAGCAGGATTCAGGCTCATGGAGGACAGCCTGACCTGTGTCGATATTGATGAGTGTGAAGGCTGGAGTCCAGGTGTGTGCCGTCAGCTGTGCATCAACACTCCAGGCTCATACCAATGTGAATGTCTTCCAGGCTACATAATGGAGGCAGATGGACACCACTGCAAGATCACTGGTGAAGTTGTTTTATCCCCCCCGGTAGTTTAATAAATACATCCACTCAATTACACATACTTATTGTAACCGTTTAAACTATCGCAAGAGGAGTTTATAAAAAGGGGGGGGGGGGAAATCCCTTTACCACTATGATTTTCATTTTCTCATTCCTCAGGTGAAGCATTCCTGTTGTCTTCAGTCCAAACAGACCTCTACTTGTTTGGCCTGCGCAGTCGTAGCCTAGATGTGTTGTCCTCCTCTGCCAAGAAGGCCATCCTCTCCCTGGACTATGACTGGAGGGAGCAGAGGGTCTTCTGGGTCAGTCTGGACACTGAGAGCATCAGGTGGTCCTCACTGGACCAAAAGAGCACAGGAACTCTGATTAAAGGTTGGTGCAACACAGATGTGGTTGGAGCATTGTAGGTGACTGATTCTACATGTATTAAAATTCATGTAGAATTGTTACATGTTTAGTCACATGCATAAGGAATACCTCCTCAGGTCATGGGACGTCATTGGTTTCCACAGGTGTCCGGGCTGATTCTGTAGCTGTGGATTGGCTCGGGAGGAACCTTTACTGGGTCGATGGCGTGAACAGTCAGATTGTTGCCATCAGACTGGCAACAACCACTGTGAAGTCACAGGACCGCAGTATCGTCCTGGATGAAGACCTGGATCAGCCTCACTCTTTGGCACTGCTGCCACAAAAAGGGTCAGCATGACTTTGAATTCTGGTCTTGAAGTTTTTAACAAGCATTGTAGGATAGTTTGGAGTGTGAATTAAAGGCTTTAATGTTTCTACCAGGCTGATGTTCTGGACAGAGATTGGTAATGTAGTGAAGATAGAGCGTGCTGGGATGGATGGGTCAGAGAGGATGGCAGTGGTGAACTCCAGTCTGGGCTGGCCAGGAGGTGTGGCTGTGGACACAATCTCTGACAGAGTCTACTGGACAGATGAGAGGCTCAGTGCGATTGGATCTGCAACACTGGATGGCAATGACATTCGGGTGAACTATTTTGGGACAGGGCTGTTGTTTATGCTTGGAAAGAATGTGTTTCAGGTTTTTATATGCATCTACCCAAAAGCTTGTTGCGGACTCCTGGAAATCAATTTAAACCCTACAACTCAATGCTAAATCTACCAGCAGAGGGCCATCTTGCCCACCTTTTTATAACTAGAAGTACCCAACAAGTGGCACTTCATGTGTGTGGGTTTTTTTTTTTCTATAATGGCCTGAGCATAGATGGATGACATTTCATGTAAAAACAGCAAGACACTCTAAAGCCTACCAAACCAAAGTAACACCAGTTCTAAATGTGACATGTCTAAATGTTTTCAGATTCTACAGATGAAAGAGACCACCAACCCATTCTCCTTGGCAGTGTTAAATGACATGCTCTATTGGTCTGATGCCAAGAAGCGAGTGGTGCAGGCTGCTCATAAAATCTCCGGCAAAAACCGCCAGGTTCTCCTAAAAAGACCCAGACAACCTTTGGCTGTGAAGGTGAGCAAGATGTTCAGAATTACAGATGTGTAGGTGGAAATGGGCTGGTACTAATGGTGACACTTGTGAATCACTTCACATGTGTAAAGTGCTCACAGCAGCTTGCTAACTGCCCACGCACAGTTATGACATTGTATGTTTGAAGCTTTCCACTTAAGAGATCAAACTATTTTGGTACAGTGTTGGGAAATGGGGAAACTCCTGATGGAAAATGGTAGAACTTGTTTGAAATACTACATCTAGCACTTGTATATTTATAATTTCATTTTGGTTTTTTGTTTAATCAGCATGAATTATAAGTACAAAAAAGATCTGTTCCCTGCTTGGTTTGCAGATCATCCACCCATTACTCCAGACAGGCATTGAGAGCCCCTGTGAGAAGATGGACTGTTCACACATGTGTGTGTTGGCCCCGGGACCCAAAGCGGTGTGCAAGTGTCCCTCAAGTCTCTTACTGGCTGGGGATGGCATGACCTGCTCCAGCTTCGTCAATTCAGCATTCCTACTGATGCTGTCTCCCTCCACCGTTACCCAGGTAGGTCTAATTTGCTTTAACGGAGACTGTAAAAACTGTCAATATCCTGACGGTAGTGCATGAGACAGATGACCTGTGGAAAAATCATGTTCCTCTGACTCCTCCTACTGCATCAAATGCCATTTGCAAGAATGCACCACTACCGAATCAAAACAACCAATCAGAGCCAGAAGGAGTCTCTAACGCAGTGTCAGTCGTTAGGAGTGCATAAAGGCACATGGGGTCCATACACACTATTGAGTCACATTATGAGTTGCTGTAATGAAAATCACAAGTTCGATCAGTCTGTTCAATTATTATACTGATTTTGGTTTCTACTGACTGTTAGGTCATTTTGTTCTCAAGTAATTTTACAATGTACAATAAAGATTTTGAACAATTTCATTCATCGAGGTCTGTGATTTTAAGTGTGCCCTTGATTGTTTTGACGTGTATTAAATCTCCAATGATCTCTGTAGATCTACTTGCAGTCCCGACACACAGCAGCAGAGCTGAAGGGCTGGCCTGAACATCTGGCCCTGCAGGTGCCCAACATCAATGAGGCAGCCTTAATGGACTACAGCCTACGTGATCACACCCTGTTCTTGACAGATGACGGCACAACTTCACTCAGCTCCTTTAAGCTTAAGGACTCAGACTTGTCCTCTCAGAGCCAGCTTCTAAAACTCCTGGGTGACACCATCACCGCCATGGCCTTGGACTGGGCATCACTTAATGTTTACTGGAGCAGCAACAAACAGCCCCGCCTGCAGGTCACGTCCATCAAAGCTGCACACACTGCAGTTCTCATAAAGGAAGGTATTGGTAGATTGGAGTCAATCGCCCTCCACCCTCCCAGTGGAAGAGTTTGTTTCACCAACCTGGGCCTGCAGAGTACAGGTACCGTGGCTACTATAGAGTGTGCCAACATGGATGGTGCTGAGCGCAGTGTGGTGTGGAAGGATGCTGTCCGGCCCACATCTCTGGACTTCTCTAATAATGGAGAGACAATTTACTGGGCTGATGTAGGTAAGGACTTTTACAAAGTTTCAGTTGGTATGGTAATGGAAAGTATTCATGCACTGAAAAGACAAAGTGCATGCTTTGTTCAGAAAAGCCCTAACACTTGGCTTCCTCCCCAGGTTTAGGGACTATTGGTTCTGTCCAACTCGATGGATCTGCATACAGAGAGTTAAAGACTGGTGATGGCCTGGCTGCAGTGGCTCTGAGTGGTGACACTCTGCTCTGGATGACTGTCAGTGGTAATGGCTCATAGTATGTACTAAATGAAATGACAGTGTCACTTGGTGTGCCAACTAACAGTACGTGGCGCTATTCAGCATTACTTTAAATGGTTTCTGTACTGCAGGTTTTTTCCTATACATCACTAGTTAAAGACATCTCTAAGTCTGAAATGCTGTTACTAAAAACTATGAATTTCCTTACATTTCTAATGTGGCTACATTTACTTTGTGTTGGCCCTTTCCTTCAGACAAGACCAGGCTCTGGTACAGAGAACAGCAGCAAAACAAGCTGTGGTTTGAGGTTGGAACAGAAGTGGTCAGCTTAAAGGCATTCAGCAAGTCCAGTCAGACTGGTATGTAAGAACCACACACCCATAACAATTTTGATGGCAGTTCAGAGGGTCTTTCAAATGTGACCGCATTGAAGTGGTTTGGTCTAGTGCTAGACCTCACCCTATATATCACAAACTCCAGTTGACTGATGGTAAACGGACACTATTTTTCACAGGTTTAAACCAGTGCACGGAAAACAATGGCAACTGCCTGCACTTATGCCTCGCCACCCCAGGAGGTCGGACATGCAAGTGTGCCCATGATCACATCCTTGTGAATGCTACCCACTGCAGGCCGGAGCAGCGCTGCCCAGATGGCAGCAGGTCCTGTTTGGATCAACTCTCATGCCACCCAGTTGAGAAGTTCTGTAACGGGCATGTTGACTGCCATGACCACTCAGATGAGAACTGTGAGTCATTATGCCTCCTTTTTTTTTTTTTAAATAAGAACTGGGAAAATAAATCTACAAGATCAAGTAGACGTTATGACATCTTAATTTATAACGACCTAAAAACTTGCTTTTTTTAAATTGACACTGTGGTCCTTAGGTGTCAGCCTGAAGCAGTGGTCAGGCGCCAAAGGCTCTGCTCTCACCCGGCCCAGCAGTTCCTCTCCCCCTCCCTCCCCTCTCCCTTCTCTCTTTGAGGACAATGGTCTGAACACCACCCTGAATGTAAGCAGTCATCTCAGGAACCTGGACGCCCAGCAGTGCAGCCAGAGCCGCTGCAGTGGCAACGGGCGCTGTGTGGACACTAGTGGAGACACGGTTTGTGAGTGTTCACTGGGCTACAGCGGTGACTCCTGTCAGGACCCTCTCCCGAAGACCATGCAGCGTCCCATTGTCTACGGCGCTGCAGGGCTCTGTGCAGGTGTGGTGGTCATTGCTGTGATAGCAGTGGTGGTTAAGAGGAGGAAGAGTGCCAACGCAAGGTTTGTATGATTACAATTAAGAAACCTTCTTGTCACAACATATAGACTTAATCTGTAGCATATCATTAATTTCCTTACAAGACAAACTTTAACAAGACATACAAACAAGCCAAGCTAGTGGCTTTGTAGGGCTTTATTTAGGCAGCAGCAGTGCTTTTAGCTAAATGATAACATGCTCACAGTGATAGCAGGTTTAATGTTTGGCAGGTATGTAGCTAACACTTGACAATTGGCAAACACAAAGTACTACTGAGTGAATGACTTTAGCCTTAAGTCATAAACCAAATAAAGACTGACTTCATGCTGCTGCTAAATCATTGAGGGACCACCAAAGCTTCTGGAACTTATTCTGATATGACCATAGACTATATATAAAAATGACCATGAATGTCTTAATTAAATTTCATGGTAATTCACCCAGTAGTAGGTATTCTCTAAAATATATTTCAATCTTCTGGAGGCGGTAGAGGAAAGTCAGAGGCTCGCCAAAGTGAACTTCATTGTCTGGAGACCATGAATACAGTGGGTATGGAAAGTATTCAGACCCCTTTAAATTTTTCACTCTGTTTCATTGCAGCCATTTTCCAAAAATTCATTTTATTTCTCAGTAATATACACTCAGCACCCCATCTTGACAGGAAAAAACAAATGTAGAAATTTTTGCAAATTTATTAAAAAAGAAAAACTGAAATCACATGGTCATAAGTATTCAGACCCTTTGCCGTGACACTCATATTTAACTCAGGTGCTGTCTATTTCTTCTGATCATCCTTGAGATGGTTCTACACCTTCATTTGAGTCCAGCTGTGTTTGATTATACTGATTGGACTTGATCAGGAAAGCCACACACCTGTCTATATAAGACCTTACAGCTCACAGTGCATGTCAGAGCAAATGAGAATCATGAGGTCAAAGGAACTGCCTGAAGAGCTCAGACAGAATTGTGGCAAGGCACAGATCTGGCCAAGGTTACAGAAAAATTTCTGCTGCACTTAAGGTTCCTAAGAGCACAGTGGCCTCCATAATCCTCAAATGGAAGACGTTTGGGACGACCAGAACCCTTCCTAGAGCTGGCCGTCCGGCCAAACTGAGCTATCGGGGGAGAAGAGCCTTGGTGAGAGAGGTAAGAAGAACCCAAAGGTCACTGTGGCTGAGCTCCAGAGATGCAGTCGGGAGATGGGAGAAAGTTGTAGTAAGTCAACCATCACTGCAGCAATCCACCAGTCGGGGCTTTATGGCAGTGGCCCGACGGAAGCCTCTCCTCAGTGCAAGACACATGAAAGCCCGCATGGAGTTTGCTAAAAAACACCTGAAGGACTCCAAGATGGTGATAAATAAGATCCTCTGGTCTGATGAGACCAAGATAGAACTTTTTGGCCTTAATTCTAAGCGGTATGTGTGGAGAAAACCAGGCACTGCTCATCACCTGTCCAATACAGTCTCAACAGTGAAGCACGGTGGTGGCAGCATCATGCTGTGGGGGTGTTTTTCAGCTGCAGGGACAGGACGACTGGTTGCAATCGAGGGAAAGATGAATGCGCCAAGTACAGGATATCCTGGACGAAAACCTTTTCCAGAGTGCTCTGGACCTCAGACTGGGCCGAAGGTTTACCTTCCAACAAGACAATGACCCTAAGCACGCCGCTAAAATAACGAAGGAGTGGCTTCACAACAACTCCGTGGCTGTTCTTGAATGGCCCAGCCAGAGCCCTGACTTGAACCCAATTGAGCATCTCTGGAGAGACCTGAAAATGGCTGTCCACCAACGTTTACCATCCAACCTGACAGAACTGGAGAGGATCTGCAAGGAGGAATGGCAGAGGATACCCAAATCCAGATGTGAAAAACTTGTTGCATCTTTCCCAAAACACTCATGGTTGTATTAGATCAAAAGGGTGCTTCTACTAAATACTGAGCAAAGGGTCTGAATACTTATGACCATGTGATATTTCAGTTTTTCTTTTTTAATAAATTTGCAAAATTTCTACATTTCTGTTTTTTCCCTGTCAAGATGGGGTGCCGAGTGTACATTACTGAGAAATAAAATGAACTTTTTTGACTTTTGGAAAATGGCTGCAATGAAACAAAGAGTGAAAAATTTAAAGGGGTCTGAATACTTTCCATACCCACTGTATGTGTACAAAATATTTTCAGTCTCAACCAAAGTAGTGGACTGATCAACATTGCTATTTTAAGCTACAGTGTAGCTTAAACAACAGAACCACAGATGGCATAAACTATTCCTCTTAAGCAACATAGACCTGCCAACAACCAATTTTGTGAACACTTGTTATATCTCTACATTTGCTGTCTGTGCAGACATGTTAAAATATGTTTACCACATACAGCAACAGTTGACTAGATGTTACAACGGGGCTACTTCTTTTCTTTTTTTTTTTTTTTGTATTTCTTCCCTGCAGGAGAGCTAGCCCAGCAGCAGTGAAGGAAATGAGTATGACTGAGCTGGAGACAAACGCTGAGACCAGCCCCAGTACACAAACTGCCCCAGCAGACACAGACAAACCAGAGGTGGACCTCCCCAAAAACGCTAAACTAGCAGGTTCCGATTTTATCTTGCTCTTTTGTGGGATGACAGTCTGACTTCTCTTATTTCTTTCTTTGCAGGAAGCGGTATCTTCTGTGGACTGAGGCAGATTTATGGCAGATTTATGGGAAAGCATGTTTTTAAATAAACAGTTTGCATTTTCCACTGTTTCCTGTTAAGTTATTTTAGCTGTTTACTCTCAATTAGACCACCAATGCTAAATTCTGCTTGAGCCAAACAATTTTCCTGATCTTTGCTTATGTGACCAAATGTCCCCCACAAGCTGACAAGACAATGCAGATTGCAATGAACAATTTTCATTATTGATCTGCCATTTTACTGATCATTTCATCTTTGAAATTTCAAGCAATACTTTGTTTGAAGACCTGTAGGTAGGCTCTGGGATGTGCAGTTCAGTCAAACACTGTTTGCAGTGAGATACAACGGAGAGAAGCAGCATATCTTCACATTTGAGAAGACTGAACCAGAGAATGACACTCGCTTCAGACCAAATGGAAAGATAAATGGCAGTCATACTTGGCAGGTTTATACCAAACACTTCAAAGGACTCTCCCATCAGCTGTACTTCAGTGCTAATAAACTAATGTTCGCATGTTAACAAGCTAAACTAATAGTGAATGTGGTGAATATCCTAACTAAACATCAGCATGTAAGCATAGTCATTTTGAGCATGGTTGCATTAAGCTCAAATCACTGCTGTGCCCATGTACAGCCTCCTGCTGTTGTAGCTTGTTTAACAGCAGTTTTACAGCTAAAGTGCTGTGGCTTGGGGACAGTAGTGTAATGTAATCAGGACATTTAGTTGAGGTACATGAGTGAGAGATCAAATTTTTTTTTTTTTTTTTTTTTGTGGCACTACATTTGACAGTTATCTACTTTGGAGAACATTTTAAATACAAACATGTGATCAGAATATATAATGATGCACTGTTACATATGAAACAAATCAACAGCATATAGCAGTCAAAAGCTCCACCCTGAACAATATTAAAATGTTAACACTAACAATCCAGTGATAAAGTGAGTGTGTGTACTTTTGAGTACATTTTGCTGGTAATATTCTTTTACTTGGAAAGTTTAAAGGCCGGACCTTTAAACTGTATTTTTACATTATATTAGTGCTTTTACTTAGGGGCCTGCACACCTTTGTAAACCCACACAAGTGAGATTATTTTGGCTTAAGCACCATGGGCATTTACATAGTGTGCTTGACTGACATTTTCCTTATCCTCCTATTGGCTCTGTTGCACCATTTAGGGAGGAACAAGTGACACATTCATCATTCTTACTATGTTGACATGAAGCCAAGCACAGGTCTAAACAGCACTGTAACTGAAAACACCTGTTTGTGTACAGGTGCTGGTCATATAATTAGAATATCATCAAAAAGTTGATTTATTTCAGTAATTCCATTCAAAAAGTGAAACTTGTTTAATGCATACATTCATTCCACACAGACTGGTATATTTCAAGTGTTCATTCCTTTTAATTTTGATTATAACTAATTATGAAAACCCCAAAATCAGTATCTCAGAAAATTAGAATATTGTGAAAAGGTTCAATATTGAAGACACCTGGTGCCACACTCTAATCAGCTAATTAACTCAAAACACCTGCAAAGGCCTTTAAATGGTCTCTCAGTCTAGTTCTGTAGGCTACACAATCATGGGGAAGACTGCTGACTTGACAGCTGTCCAAAAGACGACCATTGACACCTTGCACAAGGAGGGCAAGACACAAAAGGTCATTGCTAAAGAGGCTGGCTGTTCACAGAGCTCTGTGTCCAAGCACATTAATAGAGAGGCAAAGGGAAGGAAAAGATGTGGTAGAAAAAAGTGTACAAGCAATGGAAGCACCCTGGAGACAATTGTGAAACAAAAGCCATTCAAAAATGTGGGGGAGATTCACAAAGAGTGGACTGCAGCTGGAGTCATGCTTCAAGAACCACCACGCACAGACGTATGCAAGACATGGGTTTCAGCTGTCGCATTCCTTGTGTCAAGCCACTCTTGAACAAAACACAGCGTCAGAAGCGTCTCGCCTGGGCTAAAGACAAAAAGAACTGGACTGCTGCTGAGTGGTCCAAAGTTATGTTCTCTGATGAAGGTAAATTTTGCATTTCCTTTGGAAATCAAGGTCCCAGAGTCTAGAGGAAGAGAGGAGAGGCACAGAATCCACGTTGCTTGAAGTCCAGTGTAAAGTTTCCACAGTCACTGATTTGGGTTTGGGGTGCCATGTCATCTGCTGGTGTTGGTCCACTGTGTTTTCTGAGGTCCAAGGTCAACGCAGCGTCTACCGGAAGTTTTAGAGCACTTCATGCTTCCTGCTGCTGACCAGCTTTATGGAGATGCAGATTTCATTTTCCAACAGGACTTGGCACCTGCACACAGTGCCAAAGCTACCAGTACCTGGTTTAAGGACCACGGTATTTCTTAATTGGCCAGCAAACTCGCCTGACCTTAACCCTATAGAAAATCTATGGGGTATTGTGAAGAGGAAGATGCGATACGCCAGACCCAACAATGCAGAAGAGCTGAAGGCCACTATCAGAGCAACCTGGGCTCTCATACACTGAGCAGGCCACAGACTGATCGACTCCATACTACGCCGCATTGCTGCAGTAATTCAGGCAAAAGGAGCCCCAACTAAGTATTGAGTGATGTACATGCTCATACTTCTCAGTTGGCCAACATTTCTAAAAATCCTTTTTTTGTATTGGTCTTAAGTAATATTCTAATTTTCGGAGATACTGAATTTGGGATTTTCATTAGTTGTCAGTTTTAATCATCACAATTAAATGAAATAAACATTTGAAATATCAGTCTGTGTGTAATGAATGAATATAATATCCAAGTTTCACTCTTTGAATGGAATTACTGAAATAAATCAACTTTTTGATGATATTCTAATTAATTGACCATCACCTGTAGATCCTTTAAGTATTGTGTAATAAGAGTCCACTGCTTTGATTCTCACGTTTGTAACTTCTTGACTGTTGACAGTATGTGGACATGTAGTTTTAGTGGAAAGCATCATTTTTTCAGTGGACAAATGGCATAGTTTATTTACTGCTGGAAGCAAAGCTACAGGATACTGTGGCAGACTGAACAAATTTAATTAAATTTTGTTTTTGTTGCAGTCAGTGTAATGAGTATGCGTGATGAGACATAAATAAGAAATTCTGATGACATGTATTTAAAGACTAAATCGGATTCTTCCCATTGTTTACACCCAAACCACAAAACACATGTTTACTTTGCTTATGAATAGGCACTTCTAGTGTACCTATTCTCCTACCCTCTTAAGAATCTTTAGCCCTCTCTAATTTCACTGTGTCTGGGGTGTTTCATGATTTAGGAGTGAATGCTAAGGACATGAACCAGATGATGAATTACTGGTTTATTGTATCCACACACATCAACAGCCATATATAAATATGTCCAATGCAAGACTAGGAAGAAATGAGCATTTACTCTATTGCTTTTGTCTGAGTTGCGACACTTCAGTATTAGTCTGCCGTATCCCTGTGGTGTGCAGGGACAAGAGGATACTCATCATTTCAAGGTAGGTCTTAAAGCAGGAATGCTGTATTATCTAAAATACTATTTAATATTTAACTTTTTGCTGATACTTTTTGTAGCTAACTGTCACGCCAAAGTTAATTAACATTAATATACATTTAAAACGGATGCCTTAATGTGTGAGCAGCAGTTTTATTGTAGTAGCTTGAGGTGAAGCTGATTTTAAATGATTTTAAATTATCGGGCAGTTTAATTTGGAAATCCCTCAATCTTATGAATACATTTATTTCTGTAATTGAGTCCTAACAACTTCATTTTGCAGAGTAGCTAGAATAGTGAAACCCATTTTTAACATAATTTAACTTGATCAAAAAATGTTCTAAAGCAGGCTGCGACAATAGAATTACCATGAAATTGATTTTAGAAACTACTTGAAACTATTTGCATTAAAACCATTGAAATATTCCTACTACAGTTGCAGTTTTGTTTCACTTTTTATGGGAAAATAAAAATTTTGAGGACTAAATTCCAGACCAAAATTATTTTTTCCCACTGAACAGTGCTTCCTGTTTTGTATGAAGAATAGTCATCAAAATAACTAGTAAGTGTAGCTGTCAGGCAAATGTAAAGTACAATATTTCCCATTGAAATGTAGTGGAGTACATGAACACTAAAAATACATTCTACCAATTTACCAGTATAGTGTTTATGGTTTATTTGTTTCAGCAAATACAGGAAAGACAGCAATGGCATTTCTGAGGACTACACTTTGTGCTGTCTTCATGGTGACTGTAGCGTTGTCCAAACCAGTGAGTAACTTGATTATTCTGTTGCTACCACTATAATCTAAGAGGACTTGTGACGAATGTTAAGAATTCTTTATTATAAAAACAGGTCTGTCTCAGTGAGTGCGAGGATTCATCCAAGTCATCAGACTCCAGCGAGTCAAATTCATCAGAGGAGGCTGCCACTCAAGTTGGGCCTTCACAGGAACCCCTGGCAGACATGTCTAATGGTATGGAGGAGACCGACCCCACAGACACTGCAGCCCTACTTCCCTCTGCAGACACAGGGCCTTCTCCAGCCACGCTTGATACTTCAGCCCTGCCGGACCATGACGACCCACAAACCTCCTCTGACGCTTTACAACTCATGCCAGATGATCCTTCACAAACTGCTCTGGGTATAGACATTTCTCAGGACATGCCTCATTCTGATCCTGCACACGACTCAGTTACTGCTGACACTATGCACGTTCTACCAAATACAGATGTCTCACTGCACCCAGAACTTACAGTGACTGATATAACAATAGGTATTGGTGGCACGAACCAACCACAAGGCACCACCGCCACATACCAAGGATTCCTCCAGGATGCCACTCCAACCCTTCCTCCACACATCACCAAAGCAACGGCGCCACCATTCTCCACAGCCCCACCCCTGCCAATCGCTATCGACACCACCCTGACTGGTGTTCCGGTTTGTTTCACTTTCCAGTTCACAACTCCTGTGCCGGATCCACCTAGAGGAGATAGCATGTGACCTCACCTGAAAGTTATCCATTTCAGTTTTAGTTTCACTCCATGTTACTGACTTACGTGTAGGTAGCATTGTCTTCATACATAATCATTGTAATATCAAGTCTTTGAGTTCACATTTCCTTCATCAGAGTTTAGTTTAGTTTAGTTATAATGGTGCTACTGTACATGACTGCTAATAGAGACAATGGAAATGTCTGAACTCAACGGTAAAACTGAAGCCCTCAAATATATTCCTATGAGCAGCTGAAAATGAAAATGTGATGTAATTAAATGTACTCATCTTGAATTCAATGACTGGTTCAGAAGACAACACAATATAATAATGTTTAGTAAAATGATGTTTATTGGGAGTTTGTATTACCATCATTGTAAAGGTAACCAAACTTCACACCTGCAAGTAACAAAGACACAAACATTTTTTGCTGGAAATAAGGGCCTTATGTCACAGCAACAATTCCAGAAATTACCATACTGTATGCATGTAATGAGAAGGAAATATCCAATATATACACGTGTTGGAGTTTTAATTATGTCACATTAAGTTTTATTATTATTACAAATAGGCATGACTTGCCACATTCAGACTATATAGTCATCTTCTTCATTGGCTTTAGAAGATGAGCAGGTTAAAGGTCCCAGCCAGTCATTTGTTTTTACAGCGAGACACACACACACCTCTAAATTTTGGGGGGGGGGGGGTTATACTTTTGTTTATTTTGGAATCACAGCCTTTAAACAAACATTTTAAAAGCAATATGACAGGAACTTTACTAATGTCATCACATGTAGCATCAATTATTAATAAAAATAATTCAGAGTGAGATCCACACCCAGTAATTAGACCAAAAAGATGCTGCTATCCGTGAAAGGTGATTGAAAGATCTAATCCCCTTGGATTGGATCTTTCTTTCTAAATATTTGTATCAGTCCTCAATCCTTTTGTATTTCCATAGGTGATGGGTTTCACTTTTCTCCAAAACTACGTCCCACTGCCTGACCTTAACAGAAATTGGTCTGATACTGTACAACCTCCACCAACACCTCCTCACCTGCCCATTTTATTGGCCATGATGCCCCCCCCGGGTGGTCAGATGAGCTATGACACTCAATTACCTGTAGCTGTGAATGTGTGTGGATATATGTTAGTCCTGTAATAGACTGACAATCTGTCCAAGGTGTATCCTTCATCTCAACCAGCCAGTGCATGCTGGGATAGGTTCCAGCCCTGGATTGGCTCAGTCTGCTGTTAAACTAAATGCAAGTTACTACAAGTGCACCAGCCACATGTCTTAAGTATAACTGTCGCCCATTGTGGTTGGCTGTAATTTTAATGTGGCGTGGGTGACGGAGGCTGATCTGGCTGCTCTGGCTCTGTGTCTGTTTCTGCTTCATTCCCAGTGTCCTGCTCTGGCTGCTGGATGAGTCCTCCGTCCTGTGCTGTGTTGTAGGAGCCACAGCCACTGCACTTCATCCCCAGCACGTGGAAAGGCACCGTGCAGTGAGCTTGGCAGTCGTTACATATAATCTATAGCGTGGAACAATAAAAGTAATGGATTAGAGGATTACTCATAACAGTCACCACAGCCCATTTTTTATTATATTGTACAAATTGGATTGAATAAAATACAAAAAATGGGCATGTCATGTCAAAAATAAGAGATTCAGATCAATTGGTAACTCAACCCCACTTTTAACTAAAGTATTACATTATGTATTTTATTATATTATTAAGGTCTTACTTTGACAGTGGCACCCTGGTATTCAGTGGGCATCGGTGAATGGACAATCTCTTTATCTATCTGATCCCAGTGGTCCTCCATGTTACAGGCAGAGTGCATACATAGAGGGCAGCGATACGCTCTGAAAACAAATAAGGTTTACTAACCTGGTTGCTGTAAATCCACACACACACACACACACAGCAGGTCAGTAATCAGATTTATCACATACCCCAGGCCTTATTTTGGAATCATGTCTTATTTATTTGATAGAAGGCACCGTGATACTGCTTTCTCACTTTTGTGTGTGTGTGTGTTGGAGCAGACTGATAGACAGAGCAGAGCTTTTCCTCTCTGCATCAGTGTGTCTGAATTTAAAATAATAGTCAAATGTTGGAGTCATTTTAAATAAGAGGACGCATCACTCTGCGTAATGATCCCATCCATTGCTCAGCCGTTCTTTCCCTGTCTGCAGTCCTTTGTCATGCACATGCCTACTGGTAAAAATGTGTTTATAAAACTGGGTTCACATATACATGGCAGAGAGATCTGCATTCTGATTACAGAAACCAATTTTCTCGTTTACATGACGTTCGATACTAAACTGGTTACTTGATGACACGTTAACGCACTGACTAAAGCAGGACTCAACTGTTTTGCATAATACAATTAAATAAACAATAAATTGGTCTGGAACAAGACCATATTTTACTCAACTATACAATTACCAGGAAATAGTACTTATTAGACATACCCCGTTCTGACCATGTCATCGAAGCAGGTCCTGCAGAGAATGTGAACACACACAATTGTTACCCATATGTCATAATAAATCATGATGTATGATACTAAATTAGGATTACAAGTTATTTAATGATAATTTAGGGCTTGAAAATATATTGATTTAGTAGTCTTTATCATCAACAGTCTTTTCAATTCTCTCCTCGTCATTGTTTGATTACATTTCTGTCCTTATTTTACAGATACTATGATTATATTTTTTTTAAAAAACATAGTATATGGAGTAATCAGTCTGTATAGAAATCTGTCATGCCAATGTCCTAGATTTTTTTTTGGGCAGTTCAATTAAAGTTGGTGTACATTAAACAGCAAAATATGGACAATTCAATCCCAGCTACTAGTATTTAGAGAATAATGAGTCATACTTGTGTAAAAGATGTCCGCATGGAAGAACGTGAGCTCCAATTCTGGAGGTGTGAATATCCTGCACATACCAAAGAAATGCCATATCGAAATGTAGAGAAAGTATTGCATAATTGCATAAAAAAATCAAACATTGCTCTCCATACTGACCCCTAATTTGTTAAATGTTTCATTACCTCCATACACACTGGACAGTTCTGCCTCGAAACATTTTCAACGCACTGAAACATAAATACATAATTATAAATCACAGCAGTGAGGACGCTCATTCACTCATCAAACAAATGATGTGTGTGGGTCAGAAACAGGTGCAGTGGTAATCATCACCTTGTGGTTTCCCTGCAGATCCTGGGCTAAACACAGATTGCACTTCTCACAATGGAAATACTTCTCACTGGGACCAATTCTGTACGGGTCAAAACACAGTGTTGTCACGCTAACGCTGAGTTATAAGTTGAAGCAAAAACAAAACTGGATATGTGGTTGTGTTCTGTGTGTTTACAGGACAAGAATCACACAATATACTATAGGTTTTTTTTTGAGGGCACTGTCAACATGAAATATTAACATTCACACATGAAATATACACATACAGTATTATGGCAGGTGACATATGGCTTTTGAAAACCCACTGAATTATTGTGTACAAACACTTAAATCTGTAGCAAGGAATTTGGGAATTTCGTGTGCAACTTAAAAAAGTTATTTACCTTGAGACAGTTGTACTTTTGTTCCTCAAATATCCATATCATTGTTAGTATCTTCTACTAAAGGCTATTAAAAAAAGATTTAACATATATAAACTCTAGTATTGCTCACCTGCATATCCCACAGGGTTGACAGTGGTACTGCTTCTTATCCTTGTCGAACAAGTGGCAAATGTCACAGTAATACTCCCCGAACTGCACATCACACTGCTGGCAAGTCTGCTGTGCCTAAATGAGTGATATCTTACATGTTACCGTTCTTTTTTTCTTGATGCGAGCTATCCAGTACATACAAACAAATAAACCAAATAGACCAAAGGGAAACAAGTGACATTTAAATATCACTGAGAGGTCCTGCTACAACTGGAAGTGGAGTTGAAACATATCAGCTACAGTTACCTGCTGCACTGTCTGACACACAGAGCACTGCACCTCTCTGACTTTGAATCGATCCATCTGGTGGTTCTCCTCTGCGTCATGGCACAGCCGACACACGTACAGTTTACCACAGCAAGGTGCCTGCAGTACACAGAAACATATGATTGCACAAGGCATGGACCCAATTCAATTATCCTCATAAGACAGGCTGTGCTTATACTTTAGGAATTACTGCAATACATTAATTCTGGCTGCTACTAAACTGGAATTTTATAGAAAAGTAACATTAAAGTTTAACCTGACCTTTTCTAGGTATAAATGTAATAAATGACCTACATGTGTGGCTGACATAGCGATAGGTCTGATGTAGGACTGGGCGATATGGCCAAAATTGTTATCATGATAAAACATTTCATATCATTCGATATCAATAATTATCACAATAGGAGCAACTCCTTACTTCTTTCAAGTTTAAAGGCTGATTTTTACTACTGAGTGAAAGTTGAAGAAACCAGATGGTTAATTGCGATTTTAAACTATACTTTAAGGTTAAAACAAACACTTGATGTCAAACATTGGATCACTTAACAAATCTGACAGAACATTCAAAACAATTATGATAAAATCTTTTGACAACAAATATGCACGAGTAAAAAAAAAAATCTCTTTCCCTAGAAAAATTAAGTGCTAGTTTGTTCGCGATTCAGATTAACTAAATCAAAAATTTATTGAACATTTGTTATATTGTTGAGAAAAATTATATCGCTATCATAATTGTTTTATTGCCCAGCCGTAAATAAGCTAACTTAGCATACAGCGAGGACAATCCAATCCTCACTAAACTCTAAAGCTCTTGCATTTTCCTAATCTTTTGCAGCTAACGCATGACAAAGATATAAGACACTAACATGTCACAACGATACAGTTGCCGTGTTGCGTGTTAGCGTCTGAGTAACTCAGTTAGCTAACGTTACCTGTGATTGGTTGCTACCAGAGGAGCTATACAGTGGCATACAATGGTTATATAAAACTTAGCGGGGTTACCGTGAGGCATAGTCAACATCAGTATGCCTCCACCATACATGTGAGGCAAATATGTACAATACATTTCGAAAAGTTAACTCACTTTCAATAAGCACCTGCGCACATAATGCTCACAACCAACAGGGGAAGCCATGTTTTCTTGAAAGCTCTGCGATGACGAACATTTCCTCTTCTTCTCCGTTATGCCAGCGTACACGCTGCAACACTGCCCTCCTTCGTTTGAGGAGCATAAGGGGTCCACTGGGTCTACCCCCTCTACCCGGGTCTGCCAAGTCTGCCACATTTAACGTTACTGAAACCGTTAGTAAATTATATTACTTGTTATGGTGATGTATTAAAAAAAAATTAGCTGCGACAAGCAGCAAGGTCAACGAATAGCCTAGTTATGGTTCCACATCACTCCTCTCTTTCTCTGTTAAATATTTGGGATTTTGAAATCAAATAATGTGCAGGTTCAGGTGAAGCTTTATAATATAGGTGGATCTAGGATCGTCAACCTTTAAGCTTAATGAGCATTTCATTTCTTGATCTGTATTTTACATTTGCGCCACAGAATTAGTTCGTTTTCCACTGTTTCCTATTTTTATATTACTGCTTCCGTCATGTCCACAGTAGAGCAGGTTGCCTTGATAAACCACGTACCCTTCCTGTTAGGTTAAGGCGCCGCTGGTGTAGTGGTATCATGCAAGATTCCCATTCTTGCGACCCGGGTTCGATTCCCGGGCGGCGCACATATTTTATTTCTTCAACAACCATTAACCACTAAAATGTTGCAACGTAGCACTTCATACTTAATGTAACCTTAATGAATGAAAATAACGCTGATCAACTGTGTTGCAAGCTACATTCCGGTATCTGCGGCTGGGTTATGCATTCCCACATGCGTCCAGCTGAATTTTGTAACGTTGTTGCACTTTGGTCGATTAAGCACTGATGACGGATATACTAATAAAAACTATTATTTTGCACGGTTGTGTAAAACTACAAAACTCACTGTATTTACAGCTATGTCATACAGATGTGGAGCCACATCTTTGTGTGTGGGAGAATGCTTGATTTAGGCTTCAGTTCAGCGCGCAGGTTGACGCTGCTGACGCCGCTCCTCCGCCATCTTCAACTTCCTATTGTTTGCATCAGACTGAGGCTGTCTGCGGTGTGTGTGAGAGCAGAATCGGCCACCGATTTATCATTTAACGGGAGATAACGCCTTTACGTTCGCGGTCGCTCAAGTTCAGCACAAACCATTTGTATGTCATTGGATTAAAGACCTCTCAGGACGCGACCACTAAACCTTGACGATGGAGGACGATCAACCCAGAACCTTGTGAGTAACAGCGGCCCTGTCTATGTCCTGGAATGGGAAGGCTCCGTGTAACTAAGGCGCGTCCGAAATGTTTCCACGTTGTTGTTTCAATTAAAACCTGTAAAACCTTGTTAATTTAGCCACACATGGGCATTAACTTCGCGTTGCCATTTCACGTCGACAATAGTGACATTTGTTAATGTAGTTAGACACATAGCATTTGTACATGAACGTAAAGTTTTGTTTGATTTAGTCGTACAAATAGACGGAACCGTAACTCGCTTGAAAATGAAACCGCTCATGCTAATGCTAGTTATCATGAGCTAAAGATGCGGACGCAGCTAGCCAGCCGCTTCTTCTAAAATACACACGTTTTTATGGAATGATGGCTTTATTAAGAGTCCTGCTTTGTTATTAATTAACAGGCGTTAGCTAGAACCTCGTGGAAGGGGTTTAGTTTTTATAAAGACCTGTTAGTTGCCAAACCACTTAGCATGAGGCCCTTTTTGAACCGGCTAGCGTTATCTTTAGCTAGCTGGCAGAGAAGCCACGTCAACGCTCCGAGAGACGGCCCGGGACAGCTCCAGTAAGAGGTGACGGTGCCCGGGTTGTCTGTGTAAAATTGACACTATCTTCAATAGTATTCAGCCCATCATCGTTTATTTCACGTGAATATAATGAATTGTTGTGGGTTGTAGCTAGCCTGGGTTACTAGCCTTTGTTTGCATGCTACTTCCTGTTTGACAAAGACTCAATTCACCCATCTCTGTCCTTGTTTGCAGGTATGTGGGGAATCTGTCCAGGGATGTCACCGAGCCCCTCATTCTGCAGGTCTTCACACAGATAGGACCCTGCAAGAGCTGTAAAATGATAGTTGATGTGAGTCTTGTCCTCTCTGGTATTTTGTTTGACTGCAGGAAATGCCATTCAACAGTGGCCTGGAAGGCAGCAGTGCTGCTTATGAAAGTTTGAATGCAACATCTGCTTGATGTTGATAATTCTACTCTGCCAGTCTGTTATATCAGGTCGTACACTCCAAACTACAGTAGGCGGGCTGTTGTCATCTGCAGTGATTAAAATGTCACCTTTGCTGTGGACTTAATATCAGTCTTGTTTTCCTGTTGACAGACGGCTGGAAATGATCCATACTGCTTTGTGGAGTTCTATGACCACAGGCATGCTGCTGCCTCATTGGCAGCCATGAATGGAAGGAAAATAATGGGTAAGGTAAGCTATCGTGTCTACAGGGTGAGTGGGGACAGGTGGGTTTCGGGTGTGGGGAGTTTAGGTTGTGTGCCTTTTTCAAAAAAAACAAAAAAAAAGTGGACTGCAAGCCATTAATTGGTTTTCCAGCTTACACGGGGAAGTAAAGCCATGGTCCAAATCAGATTTTGAACAGTGTGTTACTACTGCCAGAAACTTATCTCCCTGTTGGTAAAATAGTTTCCATTACGTCTTCTTAGACCCTAAGGTCTTGAAAAATATGAAGCTGTGGTGTTAGGTGTGGAGGAATGTTTTCATCATATGATGACAAAGTGAGGTTTGAGAACAATAAATTAATGATAGAAATATAATTCAGGGACCCACCCAACAAGCCAGTGCTGTACTGTTAATAAAACAATCAAAAAACATACAAAGACCAAGTACATTAGAAAGATGGCAACACAAAAGTCTAGGAAGAACTGGAAAAAGGCAAGTTATCTAAAACAATAGAGCAAACCCTTACTACTTTAGTCTGCAACATTTAAAGGACCACAGGGCCTTATAAAAGTATATTAAACTGCCGCTGGATGGTGTAATAATGACTTTGAGTTTCTGGACTCAGTGCTAGGATATAAACCAGAAAATCTAATGACTGACGCTGAACTTAGCAACCACACTAGGTGAAGTGCATTGGTAACCACCGCAGATGAGTTTTGTACCTTTCGTTAATATCTGCAATTCTGCATTTGTTGTTGTTGGCTCATGCCTCCCAATATAATGTTTCAACATTGCATTTATGCCCCCTTCTTATCATACCATTGTTATACCCTTTGCTTTTTTTGCTGAGAAACTCCCACTTATGAAATTTATTTAAGTTTAATTGAGATCTTAAGATTTGATACATGATGCATTTTTTGCACTCTGTCACTTGGCTTATGCAGGACAGAAATGAGTGATAAGGCATCTTTTTAAAGTTAATTTAACATTTTGAAAGTACTTAAGGCATCCTTTAAATCACAGACCCTTATAGTGGACATTACCAGGTTTTACTGTAAATCATGTAAACATACCCCACCTGGCCTGTTCTTTCTCTGGCCCTTTCTGCAGGAGGTCAAAGTCAACTGGGCCACGACGCCAACCAGCCAGAAAAAAGACACAAGTAGTAAGTACAAGTGTTTGTTGGTGGGGATATATACTTTATGCCATTAAAACACTGGGAGAGTCTGATTGACTGTCCTGTTGGCCTTCTATTGCTAACAAACTGATAAACAAAATCAGTGAATCCAGTGACAATGTTGGAAATGGAGTGTATGTGTATGGTAACATGGCAAACTATGATATGACCCTTAGATCACTTTCATGTCTTTGTTGGAGACCTCAGCCCAGAAATAACTACAGAAGACGTCAAAGCTGCCTTTGGTCCGTTTGGCAGGATATCGTAAGTATCAAGCTAAGATTTACCGACAAAGATGATTTAATCAAGGTTAGACAGAAGAAAATGTTGTTTGAAAATTGTTATCCCCAGTCCTGCCTCATACTTAAATAAAATCATAGAAATCTTGGATTGATACATTCATAGAGGAAATAGGAGATATAATCAAAATTTGAGAGTTTATGTATAAGATTAAACCATTATGCTTTTGCACTTTCAGTACCGTGTAAGCCCTGTGTTGTGTTGCATGTTTTTAATGTGCTCCTATTGGTGTGTTTGTCCACAGAGATGCACGTGTTGTGAAAGATATGGCTACAGGGAAATCTAAAGGCTATGGCTTCGTGTCTTTCTTCAACAAATGGGTTAGTACAGTGACATAACTCACCAAGTTATTCATATTTTTGCAGCGTCATGTTAAGTCAGCTGAGATATATATATATTGTATTATCATAGAACATGCGCCAAAAATGAGAACAGTTTCTGTCGTTACATTCGAGATGTCTTTGAAGTTGCATCAGATATTTCCAGGCAGTTCCACACACACTACTATGTGCTGTGTCTTCTAAAGGAGTGTATGTTAGATTTGATGTCATTAGACTGCAGCTCTGTGGAATAAGCAGATTCTCTCTTTGTACCAGGACGCAGAGAACGCCATTCAGCAGATGGGTGGGCAGTGGTTAGGAGGCAGACAGATTCGAACTAACTGGGCCACAAGAAAACCCCCCGCTCCGAAGACCACCTATGAAAGTGCGTTGTCATAAATGTTTATGTTTTGCTTGTTTACTCAGGATGTTGGATTCATTTTATAACGGTGCCCATTACTCTTGTCTTCTCCTGGCAGATAACTCCAAACACCTATCCTTTGATGAAGTAGTGAATCAGTCCAGCCCCAGTAACTGCACTGTGTATTGTGGCGGAGTTAGCACAGGACTGACAGGTAATGAATACTGTATTGGAAAAGGAGTTTGTGCTTGGAAATGGGATTGTCAGTGGAGTGCTAAACCCAAAATCCAGTGACCATATTGCGAAAAAATACATAAAGGTAGCGCATCTCACATTCTCAAGTGAAGGAGGACAAAATAATCACATTTCACTTGTTTATCTGCCATCACAGAAGAAAAAATGCTTACATGTTTCAACACAGTCCTCATCAGACTGTACAGGTTCAATTCAGTAATACAACATACTCAAGGGTAACAAATATTATTGTAGTACCATTGCTACCATCAGTATGATAAAGATACTGACATTGGTAGGTAAAGAGCAAAGAGTTCAAAGATAATGAATTAA